GGGGGGGGGGGCGTTGAATTACTTACCCCTTTACATTTACGTCTGACAGTGTAATGATATGATCGTGGATTGTTTGGACTGTGGTCAACGATAAAATAATTATTATTATTAATTAAGATTGTTTTATAATAAGTTTGATAGTTTGGTGTTAAAAAAATTGAAGATTGCATCAGTGTTGGTCTCCCCAAGCGCTTCTTCGATGTTGGAGGGGTGGTTTAAGATGCTTCGTTCGTAGTTATTTTGACACAGTGGAGTTTGAGATGTTCGATTGTCAGTGGTAGGTTGGTTGTTCTTCATGGTTGAAGAGAAAAGAATAGGTGAAATGTGTCTAGCTCTATTGTTGACCAATATCTACTATACGGGCTATGATGATGGGGTATCACCATTTCTGTATGGTCTTTTTTATAATTTTTAATTTATTATCAGATATAGAATCCCATTGTGATTGCCATTGCTGGATGGAGATTCGGTTAGTTATTGATAAGTCTTTATTTAAATAAAGACTTATATATTAAATAAAGATCTATAAAGATTATTATTATTCATTAAGATTAACTTTTAAATAAAAAACCTTATTTTTCAATGTATACACTTTTCATTAATACACAATTTATACTGTTATTAATATAATTGATAATTTTATCAATTGTATAACAATAAAATTATTTACATAGATTGAATGTATGACTTTAACTGGCGAATTAAGTTTTAATAGTAAATACCACATCAGTATTGTAATAATGTTTTGATTTATATTTTGGAAATATTACATATCTTAATTATAATTTTTGTATCGTATTCAATAATAAAAATTAATTTATAGCCTATGTCAATACTGGAGGATTCAACGTCATCACAATAGATTGGAGTTCTATTGCCCGTGATGTTATATATCCTATAACAGCATATACGACTACACAAGTTGGCTCTCTGTTTGCCGAATTTTTAAAAAAATTGATCCATGTAATTGGTATAAATCCAGAATTCATACATTTAATAGGCCATAGTCTTGGTGCTCATGTTGTAGGATCATGTGGTTCTTATTTTAAATCAAGAAAAATTGGCAGGATTACTGGTAAGTGATACTTAATAAGGTATAACAGTTTAATAACTATAGTTTTTTATATGATTTAAACCTTTGCGTTGAAAATTCTTCTAAATAGAATAAAATATTTGCCAACTGAGGAGAGGGTGTTTGAACATACAGTTAAAGGATATATCATCTTAGGAATCCCTTCTTTTCAAAATTGATATGACTACATTTTTATTTATTATTATTTTTAAATTACGTAATTACACTTTGGATACATTATAAGTTGTAACTAAAATCAATGAAAAAGTGGTAATCTACAATGGTTAATATAATAATTATAATTATCCAGTCTAATGCGTAATTACCAAACCCAGTTATCATTCTTAAATTAATCATCATATCAAAAAATATGTAGGAACCCTATTTTTACAGTACAAAATATTTTTATATTATCATGTTAGTATTATAGATTAATAATTTTTCAAACAATATTATCATTTACTTTACTAGCCATCAGTTTAGAGCAGCGTTTCCCAACCTATATGTCGCAAAATATTTTTTATGGATCGGTGTTTGTAAAATTATGATAAGAAAATATCTTAGTTATCAAAATATAGTTATATATATATATATATATATATATATTAAAGTTCAGTTTTTCAGTATTGCATTAAAGTATATGATAAAATTGCTTATAGTAAAATAATTCGTTATGTTATTATATTGAAACATATAAGTTTTTTTTTTTTTTTGATGTTTATCTACCTTACACAAAGGATATTTACAGACCACCTTAGCATTAAGGTTAGAAACACTGGTCTAGAGAAACACTGGGCTAATCAGACAAAGGCCGAACTAAGCAAGAGAATATGTAATTAGTAGATACCAGATTAAGTAAATAGGATTTTAGTATAAGATGATAAGAAATAATACAAAAAAATATGAATTAAAAAAAGTCGTAAGTTTGTTTGAGACGTTGAAGTCATTTTTATAACTATTTATTTATATTTATATTAAAATCTTATAAAATTCACTGTTCAAATTATGTTAATCGTATTCTATAAATATACCCGAGAGGTAAATGTAGATAAATCTTTCTATCAACATTTATTACATTATTTATTATCAATTATTCATAATTTAATCGTTAATAAGTTAGTATAACAAAATACATACTATCGCATATTATATGTTCATATGTGAATGCATACTCATATTCATGCAATAAATGTAATAACTAATAAATTTTATAAATTTATATTTTATTGAAATTTCCATTTTTTTTTTTTTTTTTAAACTCTCATATTTAATAGGTATATAAATCAACTGTTACTGTTTAGAACCCAGTAAAAATACCGTGTAGAAGCTAAAAACCTGTTTGCCACACTTCTTGTTACATTTCGATTTTTTAAACATCAAAAACCTTTAAACTTGTAGACTTTTCAGTTTAAAATTATTTGTAGATGTTAGTAAAATTTATATAATAATCATTGAAGTTTTAACAATCATAAGAGCATTACTACTATAGGTTTGGACCCAGCCGGCCCCGGATATGAGTTTATTCCTGATCATTTAATCCATTTAAATTCAACTAATGCAAAATTCGTAGATGTTATTCACACGTCAGCTGGATCTCTTGGTTATTATCAAAGTATTGGTCACGTTGACTTCTATCCCAATTCTGGATTTGCACCACAACCAGGATGTGACTCACTACTAAATTTGTGGGAAATGGGTAAGTCAATGCATTTTTTAACTAGTTAACTAGGCGACATAAATGTCGCCCAATGATTATACTCTGTCGACAATATTTTGAAAGATTGGGCGAAATAATGCGAAACAAACGTGTAATACTATAATCATACTATGGTATTACATTGACTACTTTAGGAAAATCATTTTTTGTCACCCAGTGAAAATTCCTTATAAAATGCACTGGGGTAAGTATTCAAATCTGTAAAGAGAATAATTTTAATAGTTATGATATTAAAATAGAGACATGGACTATTTTCTGATACATGAAATATAAATCAAATGAAAAATTATATGATTAAAAAAATTTATTTCGAATAGAGTTAGAATATCATTAACATATTTTTACTAATTTTGTTGAATAGCAAATAAGCATATCCAAACTTTTAATATTTTAAATTTCAAATTTCAGTATTGTGTTATAGCCGATTTTAGTATAAAATGTTCTAATGATTCTGGAAGTCATATTCGTTACACTTTTACTACTTTAGTATATTAAAATAATATTATTCCTTTTTTTAATATTATAAGAAAACATGCAATTGTAAAAAATTTCAAATCTGAATCATTAGGTTTACTTAATTTAAAAATTTTAAAACCAAAAACAAATTACAAATAATGTATAAAATGTGTACTGCCTTTAATTAAAATGGAAACTTAAAATTGTAAACATCATTATATATACTCATCAAATACAACAATTTACTTGTTTGTAAATGACTGTGATGCAAACATATTTTCAAGGTCTGTCATTTTGTTGAAGTTTTAAAAAAGAACAACATTACAACACGTATGTTAAAAAATGTCAAATAAACAAACGTAGAAAAGCAAATAATATGTTCTTTATTCCGTGATCCATATTACAATTTATAATAAATAAAGTTGGTATGTAGACTAATTAAGAATAAAATATATGTATTTAATTTTAGTTACCTAAGAAGAAATAACATAGAACTAGATAAATATTAGTGCAAAATTATACATAATTAACTCGACAAATAGAGTGAATCAATAAAATAAAGAAAACAAAGCAGGAACTTTATGCATTTGCATATTTTTTAGGAAGCTGTATATTCAAAATTTGATTAGATAAAAATTCATTTCATAATCCATACTATGGAAATACAAAAATTTATTTAATGTATTTTAAATGTAAAATGTGAACATTGTATATTTTTGCATATTTTACTAAATTTAAACGATTCCACTTATTTAATGATTTTAAGCACATTAATGTATATTATCTTTATAATTTTCTAACTGAATTTACAGGGAACAGTCTTAGACGAGACATAGTTTTTAATGGATTATTACCTTATACTATTTAAAGCATAGTTTGGTGTATCTATTGGTTATAAAATAATTTAAATTAAATTTCAAACAAATCGGTATGGTACTTTTGGTAGTACGTTGAATTACTCGGTTTTGAATCATAAAACAGTCTTTGTCGATGTCAATATTTTTTAAAATCTCTTCTTATTGTATTAGGGTATTAGAGAGACCACTATATTAAATTTCAAGCTCATATATTTTGTCGTTTTTTAGATGTATCAATGGTATTTGCGATTTATTAAAAAATATTTTTATTTATTTATTTAATTTTATTTCTGGTAAGGAATATTGAGCCCAACTGAATCTCTCATGTTACATTAATTACATTTAAATTTAAAAAAAAAAAAACAAAACACACGATATGTACTTGGTCAGAAAAACTGAAGATTTTTTTAGTATTCTTATTGAAAAACATTTATGGCAAAATAGTCATTTTTGGTACATAAACACCTCATATTTTTAAGAATATAATTTTTGATATTATTTTGCAGAGATGGTAAGTCCATGGCAGGCTAAAAATGTAATTTTAATATCTTATATTCTAATATATTTATTCTATACAAAAAATAAATATAAATCCAAACTTTAGCTTTAAATAAAATGTTAGATACTCGTATTATACCTAAAATAAATATGTTTTAATCGCTTTACCTATATGCTTTTAATTGCTTATTAGTTATTATTGGAAATAGTGTAATTATGCTTACCAATTTTATTGTTGAACGTCTGATATTTGCCGTTAAAATTGTTCTCTTATGAATTGGGTTTTATAACATCGAACAAAAAAATAATAATTTAGATCTTGGCAAAGGCGCAAATTAGTTGGAATTACAGGTGGGTGGAGCAAAACAAACAATACCCTCCATGTGAAAAAAATTGGTCGTTGTGCCCACATAATATAAAATACGTAATATATATATAATGTATTGATATATGCTTATTAACCACAGGGGTATCCTTCTTGGATAACGGGTGTGACAATTCCGTGGACCCCAGTTAGGTGGTGGTGCAGCCTGAAAGATGTCAGAATTGTCTCAGGTAAGTAGGTGGACACAAATATCGTGACACTGAAGCACCACCACCACCAGTCGGGCCCCCCATTAATGGGGGTTTAACGTTGGGCTAACCACTCAACTTAGTAAAAAACAATATAGTTCCTAGACAAGACACACAACAGCCTCAGATGAATAATAAGTTGAAAGCGTTGATTGTTGGAACCTGAAATAGTGCGCACCCTTTATGCAACAGACGTGATGAAGATAGTTACGTCAGCAATCGAAAAATATAAAATAGACATAGTAGCAATACAAGAGTTAAGATGGACAGGAGTAGAAAATATAAAGTTAAAATACTCTACAATAGTCTACAGCTGTGGAGATAAATATGAGTATGGAGTGGGATTTATTGTTAAAAACGACAGGTTATCACGTATCAAACGTTTTAAAGCATGTAACGAACGATTATGTTTGCTACACATAGAATGTAAATGGATAAACGTAACACTGATCAACTGCTACGCACCGATGGAAGGGAAATAAGATAAAATTAAAGAAGAATTTTATAGCCAGCTAGATTTGATATATGATAGTATCCCTAGAAGAATAAAAAAAATTATATTGGGTGACTTCAATGCGAAAGTCGAAAGAGAGAATAATTTTAGACCAACAATCGGAAGAGAAAGTCTTCATGAAGATTCAAACGATAATGGCATAAAATTGAAAACCCTCACAATTTCAAAAGAAATGGTGATTAGCAGCACATGCTACCTGCACAAAAGTATCCATAAACTAACCTGGACATCCCCTGGAGGAACAACACATAATCAGATTAACCATGTGGTAGTAGATAACCTAATAAAACACCGGGTTCAGAATATAATAAGTTGTAGAGGCGTAGGATCACACTTAGATCATTTCTTAGTAAAGGCTATTGTGAGGATAAGACTACCCAGGAAATGGAAAGCAAAATTATCACTTACAAAAAAACTGAACATAGAAAACCTTAAAGAAGAACAAATGCGAAAAAAATATCAGGATGAAATATTAAAACAATTAAATGAGAGACCGCAAACTGAACAGAATAGATGGAATAACATCAAAAAAACTATCACGTTGACAGCGACGAAATCAATTGGATACAGAACAAAAAAAAGTATCAACATGGTTTAATGAGAAGTGTAAAACGGCAATAGAAAATAGAGGTAAAACAAAATTGAAAGTAATGAAAGACAATAACAACGAGAATAAGAATTTGCTAACTCAAAAACAGAGAGATATTAAAAGAAAACAATAAAAATAAAAAAGAATAGGGGAAAAAGAAAAAATGAAAAGAATAGAAGAGAAATATATAAATTCGAGAAATTTTTTCCAAATAACTAATGACAAAAAAGCTGACAAGAAAATTTAAGCCAAAAACTACCATCATGAAGGACAAGAATGGAACACTAATAACCAAAGAAACAGAAATAGCAAGAGAATTTAGAGCTATGTTCCAAACCTTACTAAATAGGACTAGTGATTTACCCCAAATAAATACAGAATATATATCTGTAGAACCAGAAGATAAGGAACCTAGTTTACAGGAGATCGGAGTTGCAAGTAAAATGCTCAAAAATAACAAAGAGGTAGGAAACGATGAAATAGCATCAGAACTATTAAAGTATGAAAGAGATAACTTAAAAATAGAGATATGGAAAGTAATAAAAGAAATATGGGTGATAGAAAAGATCCCAGAAGATTGGAATACATCAATTATATGCCAGATTCATAAAAAAATATATGTAATAGACTATGGTAGTTACAGGGGGATTTCATTACTAAGTATTACTAACATTATTCTTAACCGACAACGACCATATGCAGTAGATATTATAGGAGATTACCAAAGTAGCTTCTTAGTGGGTAGATCTACAATTGATCATATATTCATACTTAAACAACTGATAGAGAAATACTATTTGTAGATTTCAGACAAGCATATGACTCAATAAAAAGGGAAGCATTATGGGAACATTTAAAACTATTTAAAATACCAGCCAAATTAAGAGCAATAATACGAATGTGTATACTCGTAGAAACAGCAAAATGCAAAGTAAGATTCGGACAAATATACTCCGAAGAGTTTTAAACCATAGTCAGACAAAAGTAGGGTGATGCACTATCCCCTATACTCTTTAACATCGCATTGAAGGTGGTAGCGGGAAGTATATATAATAAATACAAAGGAATTGGACGTTGGAAAATCGATATTAGTCTCAGCGTATGCGGATGATATCGTAGTTCTTGAAGAAACCGATGATGATTAAAACTAGCAACAGAGAAACTAATACGAAGTGCCAAGACAATAGAATGTGAAATAAATGAAAACAAAATCAAGTATATGTGCATAGCAAGAGAACAACCACAATTATACCAGACAAGGAATATAAAGATTGGAAAGTACACTTTTGAAAAAGTACAAAGTTTTAAGTATCTTGTTACAGAACTAAACAGCCAAAACAACAATCATGAAGAGATTAAGAAACGTGTGGAAGCAAGGAAAAGATGTCTGCATGCACTATCTAAATGCCTTTATTCAAAGCTATTGTCAAAGAAATCAAAAAAAGAGGCTGTACAAAATAATAGCAAGACCTATCATAACGTATGCATGTGAGATATGGCCAACAATGTTAAAAGATGAGAGAAAACTGTCTATAGTAGAAAGAAAATTTCTAAGAAAGATCTGTGGACCTAAAATAAATAACATAACCAGTAGTGTCTTGGAGGGTATGCGCGGGTATACGTATTATGGCTTACCATAATCAACTTCTAACCTAACCCAACTACCTGTTGGACTTAATTCTACTGAGATATTAGGTATAATTATTGGTGATGGGTCGAACTATTCGAATCTCGAAAAGAACCCTTGATGTTCGGTTCGGTTCGGTACGAAATTCGAACTCTGCATGAAAAAAAATCGAACCGAACTATCAAGCATCTTTTGCTATTCGAAAATCGAAATTGAAAGTATTTGTCGAACCAGATTTACTGGCCACGATAGTTCGAAAACCAAATATTTGTATAATTCTTCAAAAGTTATTTTTGAAGAATAAAAATTGATAATAATTATTTAGAAATAATTAGACTATTGGCGGTAGAAAATGATAATGTTTAAAGGACAAGTTATGCATTATTTATAATAATAATAATAATGTTATTTTTCCAATCGCATGTTACATATCCACCCTCCGCCGACCAAAACATTAATAAGTTGTTTATCGCCAATGGAGGCAGTGTATCTACATCCATATATTAGCTATTTTTGTTTTTATCATATTTATTGTAGAGGTTAAAATCTATTTTGGATAAATCCATGGTAATATTCCGATACCGCGACTGTGCTGTTAATAAAAACATGTTTACCACTTATGTCTTACATTATAAATTCTACTAATCATTCTATATTTGTGAATTATAGTTATTATTACTATTTTTTTTATATATTATTAAAATGTACTGATTGTATTGTCATATTACACTCAATACTCAATGAATATTTTATAAGCTACAAAACAACACGAGAGAGCACAATACTGGTTATGATCTAAAATTTAAATATTTTGTAAATAATACGATTACTTAGACTTAAAAGTTAAAATGTATAATAGGTAATACAAAAACTTAAAATACAATTGTAATTAATAATTATGGTTGATTTAATTTGTAATTAGGTACAATGTACATGAAAAAAGTATTGAGTTCGAGTTAGATATTTATAGGAAATATTATTAGTTTTATTCTACAATAAATTATGGCGCCTCGCATTTCGTAATTTAGATATTGGCATATCATATTGCCTAAGGCCTCGCAAATCGTAACGACGGTCCTGTACAGATAGCATATCACACATGAACATTTCAAACACTCACACTCAGTGGTCGAAATGGCTCAAGATAAGAAGAAGGATGTCTTATAATTCAGATTTCCTAATATCACCATAACATTCTTCACACCTTGTGTACTTATAATATATATATATTTTTTTATAGTTCACATAAAGTATATTATCTTAGTCCATGACTCTCAATACGGGTATAATACGAGTTTCGAAACGGCTTATACTAAATAACACGATAAGCCAGGCGCCCGGGTCTGAATGTTAAAAACAATTATTTTCATTAAAAAAAAAATGTCATATGATAATTATATCATTTTAAAATACAAGTCTTAGGAGGAATGTGTTATTCTAGACAAAACAAATAGAGGGATGAAAACTGTAAATACGAAAAAGTAGAGACATGCCATCCCTCCGTACTCCCCTACTTCGAGCACTGCTCACACTACACTATACTAAAGTATTACATTTGCTATATAAAAATATATCAAACCATTTTAATTTTATAAGTATTTTTTATTCAATAATTAAATTTAAAAAAAATTAATTTATTCAACTAATTCTATACAGTTAAATTTTGAAAAACTTACCTTATTTTTATGAGTTTTTTTTTTTACTGAAATTGATTCTTTGAAATTAGTTGAATAATGTGAGCATTCTAACCCAATTAATTGAACAATTTATTCAAACCTTGACGATATTATTCTGGTGTATGAATTAAATAATGTTTCATATTTTCTTAATTATGAATAAAGATGATAAAACTCTTCAGAAACGAATCTATCTGTATACCTGGTATTAACTTTTTCTTTCATTATTTTTATTTTTAATTCTAATATATTTTAGCTATAAGTTTTCAGTTAGTAATAAATTACTCTATGTATAAATTAGTAGTATCTTGACTACTAAGTAATAGGGATGAGTACCTAGTTCATAAACAGTTCGATTCAGTTAGATGAACCCAATTGAGTTGATTCAATGTTGAAGAATTGATTCATTAGTAACACTGATTATGTTACTGAACCGAAAGTCAAAGGTTTAATTATTAAACTTTAATAATTCAATGATTCAATCCTATGATTCAATTCTACCTTATTTTACCTTAGTCCATGGTTATCAGTACTCATACGAGTTATTAGACTTGCCACTGACTTCTTGTGTCATCTTTTAAAATGTGTATACCAAAGAGATAATGTAATTGCAGTCACGGTTATTCCACAGACTAAATGAAAATAATTATTTATAGCCTATGGGTTTTTCATAAAAACGTTATTATCTACGTTTTAGATCAATATTAAAGTGTTCACTTTATTGTAGGCTCGTTATAACTATACAGCATACGTTATAATTATTTGGGTAGATTATTAACACGATTCATGTTGGTAATCAATGAATAGCTCGACACCATGACCGAGACATAGTGAACTTGGTCAGGTCCTGGGCCTTTTTTGAAGCCCTGGCCCCTGGGCTACAGCCTGGCTGCCCCCCCTCTCGTCGAGCCTGATTTTATGATATGTTTATACAAGACTTAAATCTCACTATAATAAGACATTCGTTTTTCTTTTATTATTTTATTGAATTTATAGTTCTAATTCTCTAAATTAATGTACATACATAGTAATATTAATAATAATAATATTTATATTGAATCCAAAATAAATATAAAACATGTGGTCAAAACATATTTTCATCAAAAAAAATTTAAAAAGTTCAGTTTTTTGATTTATATCCATGATATAGGTCCTATGCCCCAACCCCGCCCTCACAACTATAACATATCTTGGAGGCTTCTGCCTAAATACGTCACTGGGGCTACGTTTATATGTTTATAACATTTATACATTTAAAATTAATCGTTAAAAAATATGATAACTGCTTTACAGTTGATACACAAACAATCTAAATCGGTAGATATTATTATCAATATAATAATTATTTTAACTCAATTAAAATTATATTTAAATGATTTTAAGAGAATCACTAGATCCATTCAAATAATCGATTAAATAAACTGAACTGAATCTATTAATTTAACTGAATCATATTTCCCATCCCTCCTAAGCAATATAGAAAAGTAATTTTCTCACGATCGCATGCATTAAAATCGCAAAAATTTCATTTTCCCTTCGTAATAATTACCCGCAGTAGATTGCGATCCGGTCATTAGACACAACGCATGAACCGCACTACCATGATTCATTTAGAACATAGCATAAAAGACCGGTCAAAATCCGGAACAAGTATTAAAAATTTAATATAATATAAGTTTATCAAAAACAAATGAAAATAGTATTAAACACAAAAAATAATCTGATACATAAATCTATTTTTAAATTGATTGCAGAACAATGTAGTCATGCCTATTCATATATGTTATATACTTATTCTGTGTATCACAAAACAACTTTGACTGCAGTAAATTGTTCTTCGTGGTCAGATTTCCAGCACAACAAATGTATAAATAATAAAACCATTTTCATGGGACACGAGACACCACCCAGGTAATTTTTGTATAGAAATAATTTAATTATTATGATTTATGATCAAGAATATTTTATTTTATTATAATTATTTCAAATCACTAACTAGTATATTATTAAAATTAGTTACATTGGTACTATATTAAACATAGTTATATAAACAAGCCTATGCGATAACAAAGTATTTTAAAAATGCTCAAATTATCTATTAAAATTAATAAACATGTTAGCCGTTAGGTAAAATGCATCAAGTGGCTTAACTAGAAATTTTTTTATAGGGTTCCAACTGATCAGTTACATTATATATCATATTAAAAAAGAGCAGAGTTTTATGTTTCATGTTTTTTTTTTATTTTTTTTTAGAGAAAACCAAAAAACTGTTTTATTTTGTTTAAAACTGTTTTTTTTTATTTGTTTCATTTTAAAGTGTCATATTTTTATTTAATTGCTTAAGCTGCTTTAAATGTGTTTAAAACTGTTTTAAAAAAGTTTAAAAATAAGTAATTCCCGATCAGTGATTAATTGAATATCTTATGAAGCACAGCACACATGCTTACTAGCAACACCCGATAAATTTAATATCAATAACATTGTACAATGGCTGATGCACGGGCGGACTGGGTCGGTGGGATACCGGAAACTTTCTCGGTGGACTGCTGCTCAAAAATAATTTGTTATTATATACTTATTACTTATAATAAAATAGTTAATACGTATAAATATAAATTATATTTATTTTATTTTTAACATAACGCGCGTGCATAAAAAATTGTTTACATTTTATATTTATAAATAGATTTTAGGTTTCGGTTCAACTGATATTCACCCTTCCCCCCCGGCATCGCCAACAATTATTATTTATAACTTCATATACGACGTGAATTATACCAATTGATTAATAAAGAACGGTTATAAGCTATAAGTTTATAACCATGTATCACTATAATGTTGCATAATATATTTTATTATTGTGTTAAATTGGTTGTGAACTGGTAGATACAGTTTCGTACTTGCGCGATTCGACGTGCGAAACGCGGGAAAACTCGCGACAGACTTGCTCGACGGTAAGCGCGACGACGAAACACTCGCAACAGCGAAAGAAAAAGAAAGAGAAGAAAAAATACGAGGTCACCAATTTGTGGGGGTCGGCGTGTATGTGGTTGATGTGAACCATTCACCACAAATAACTCATAGAAGAGTATTGTTAAAAAAGTATACGAAAGACAAAATATTTATAAAGATACTAAATAGGTATATTAAACAACAACTCGACGGAGTAATAATAAAATGATATATAGTTCGACGGAACAGATACGTATAAAAAAGGTGTACAATGGGTTAATAATGGCGTAGTAAATACAAGGCAAAAAATAATTACGTTGGTCTCGGTCGACGGATCGGTGACGAGAGCGAGCAAAGCTCGATCGAGCGATCGCCGTAACCGTCGAAGCTCGTAAAGGTACGGTTTCCTAGACGCGACCTATTTCGTATAGTGGTTTCCAAGACCGCGACATGTCGCAGCGGCCAAACTTCTTTTCAATCAGCGTTCGTAGTTAACATACGTTTTTAGTTTATTTTCAAACTTGTTCGAGTACGCACGTCTTTTTCATTTAATTTTACAATGAATAGTTATATTTTTAATAATAATAACATTCTTCTAACAATTTATATATATCTAATATAGACCTTATTTTCCAAGTTTCAAAGATATGTCTTTCCAAATATTATCTTTTAATATTATATTTTTATAATTTTTATCTCCAATGTTGAAAAGAACCGGATTCTTTTGTACCTCTTGAATAAGAATTTCGTCGTCGGACGCAGAAAAAAACCAAAGTAGACGCCATCATGCTGAAAATTCACAACGATCGCTGTGAATGTCGCGGCGACTTGTCGCGCAGTACTGCTCCCGGAGCAGTAGTGTCGTCGGTCGTCGCGACCCAAAGTTCGGTCGTCATGGTTTGTCGCGCGTTACAAACCAGTCAATATGATTTTCGTGTAAGTAGTTACTAACGACATGTCGCGGCGACAGGTCGCGTCTAGGAAACCGTACCTTAAAGAAGGCCGAACAACGTTCACATTAACAAAGAGCATGTATAAAATAGTTCGACAAGAATATAATTCACAAAACTGGGTGACAGTTGGTGACGTGTGATAATGGGGCTACGCGCCGTATCCCCACAGTATCAATATTCGACCAAATTGGTATTAGGAGTGATGGTCACATATAGACACTATTTTATAATGTGGTTATATGCTTTAGCATCATGCATGGTTATATTTTATTTTGATTTGTATTGTTCTTTGTATTTGTATTTGTTCTTTTAAACTTTGATTAAAAACTTGGTTAAGGTCAAAAATGGGAGAAGAACGCTTGGTTGGGTTAGCTTTGCTTAATATCCATAAACACAGAACAGTTGAAGTCTTAGATCATATACAATGGATGGAGTCATACAAATAATTTGTGAAGCCAACATAACAGTAGGACCACAGTGATATGCGCATGCGCGTGGCATCTTATCATAAATTTTTGGCGCAAATATTAATTAATTGATTGTTGAACAAGATAACGATTAACTATAAAGTATAAGTGTTTGTTAAGTTTCTAATTGCATTATTATAATAATATAATTAATTATATTGTATTTGCTACGTCAAAATGATGATCAATAACAATGTTTGGTAAATTTAGAATTAGTGATACCTAAATTCAATTTTAAGCCGAAAAACAGATTGACATTTGATAAGCATGCGCGCATGCGCATATGTCACCGGTCCTATAGTTATGTTGACTTCAACTCATTCTATAGGTGTGATATGCGATGATTCTATCCATTGTTTATGATCTAAGGTTGAAGTTGACGAAGTTATTGATTTATTTTCTGGCATTAAAAAAATAAATTTAGATTTTGTTATATGATTCATTTTTTAAGTATTTAGTAATAATTTATAATAAAGTGTCAGATTAAAACCATAAAACCATAAAACCATAAAAAATTGTGCAATTAATTTATGCCCCCCCCCCAAAAAAAAATGTTTCACAGGTACGCCACTGGCCACGAGTACCTTTTTTACTGTAAACTCTGCCAGTAAAATAAAACAGGTAAAATTGGGTTCATGTAAACTCCGCCACTAAAAAAAAAACAGGTAAAATTGAATACATGTAAACTCCGCCAGTGAAGAAAATCAAGTATTAATATAAATTTAATATGATATATTATTAAAAGTAATACATAATAAGAATAATAAGTGAATATTATTATTATAATATTATATATCATACCTCTATTTTTATTTCACCAGACTCATATTTAATATTTTGGTTATATTTGTAGTTGTTAAATAAAACCAATAAATTGCCTCGTTGACCAGTAATGAATTTTATATTATTACTTTATTGAGATATATTTCATTCAGACATATTTCGTTCAGTGTAAAATATACTCGAAGACATGCAGACTCCGAATGATAATGTTCGTCAAAATATACTTTACGTATACCACCTTACCTACTGCTGATATCATCATTGGAAAAACTAATTTCAGATAATATGAAGATAAAATTATTAATAAATGAATCAATGTGGATATATATCCACCTTGAAATGAATCGAACCATGACAATAATTTTATCAATTTCGATATACATCATCGCAATTGATATCAACGTACCTATTTAATGTGAAAAGGCACGTGGTAATGTGAGCACTGAGCAGGTATACAAAAAATGAACTGGAGAAGTTTATATATACCCATTACAGGTGAGAAAAAATACCGGCGGAGATTACATTAGACCTTTTATTATCTTTTTATCTTAACCAATATTCTAGCGGAGTTTACAATTGCCCATACATTCAGGATTTAGCCGGTTTGGGACAACTAAACACCATAATATTTAAAAATCAAAATCAAGGGGACCAGTTCGGGGCCACTGATTTTTCTTAGGGGGCCAGACCCCCTAAGGCCCCCCTTAACGACGTGCCTATATCATAAGCCAAGAGTCAAATACTCTTCCCAACATTTTTTTTCTAATAATTAGCTTACAATCCTACTTATTGAGTGGAAAGTACAATATCATTAAAAGAGTTAAAAATATCAAACTAGTAGTCAATAATAAAATATACCCTGCAAAAATTACATCCTCTATAAATTTACGCCCGGGAATGAATCGTAGTCTTCTTCCCCTTAGCCTTTGCTTTTAATTTACAATTTTTTAAATAGTTTAGTACTATTATTTATAGTATTAACTATATCTTAATTCCAAAGTTCCTAGATGTACAATACATATTCCATAGTTAATATAAACTCTAAATTTTTAAAAATGAGTTAAAAACACTTAAATAAAAAAAATAATTTAAACAAAAGTTTTAAACAACATTGATGATGTTTTAGATAAATTATTTAAAACAGTTTTAAATATGTTGATTAAAAAGCTTTGTTTTAAACATAACTCTGAAAAAAAGTTAGGAAAATAGTATTAAAAAAAAAAAAAATGTATTTATTTATTTTTTATTTATTTATATTATTATTATTTGTATATGGAAATGAATCATGTGTTTTGAAAATGTTTGGTTATGAAACAGCATATGGTACCTATGAATTTTATGCAATGTAAATTTAAAATATAATATAATTTATGATTTTGTGAAATTGTTGATGGGGGATTACAGCTTTCTCCGAGGTATGCCACTGAATTCTCTACATCACTGATAACCAGGGCTTGGAAGTTAAAGTTTTTGCTTATTTTTATGGATTGACTTAAAATGTAGCAGAGTGCTATAAAAGTATATGTCAAGTTATAACACGTACAATTATGAAATTTGAAAGTGCTTTTTTTTGTTTTTTTCAGCAATTTTTAAAAAAAATACTTATTTCCAATTCTTCAGTTTTTATTTTTACTTATTTGACCAGTTTTTTTACGTTTTTATAGTTTTCTCCTACAAAGTTGTTTTTGATAGAATTAAAATTAAAATTAATTCTAATCTACGTTGTCACGTAGTTCGTCGTCATCCAAGGCATCGATGTAGGGTTAACAAAGATATTCCAACGCTGAAAATAGAACTAAGTGTCAAACGTCAGGATGATCAAGAACAGTTTATATTTGAATTTTCAGAAAAATCCCTTAGAAAATCCATAAAATCCTCTAAGTCTTGAAAGTGAAGATTTATTTTTATTTTGTTTGATTTTTTAGTTAGAAATTTATAGTTTTTTTTTTTTAATAAATATTTTTGCTTAATTTAAATTTTTTTAAGCACTTATTTTAATGATTTTAAGTGCTATAAATCTCGAGCCCTGCTGATAACACAGATAAATACAAAATAATACATTGAAAATGTAAATTTAAACATAACAAAAAATGATTCGTCTAAAAATAAATAAAAACTTAAAAAAAATAAGCATGATTCGATTTATGTTTAAAATATTAGAATGAAAACTATTGAAAATTTAGCAATGCAGTATATCCGTAGATCCAGTGGCGCAACCAGGGGGGTGGACTCCGGGTCTGGACCCCCCCCCCCTTGGTACGTATAATAGTATATTAATATCATATTTTATATATATATATATATATTATAATTTTTTATTATTTGTATATTAGTTTATTTTGTCAGACCCCCCCCCCATGAAAAATTCCTGGTTGCGCTACTGCGTAGATCAATATGTACTAATGTCACAATCTCTAACAAAATTAAATAGTAACAAGCTATTAAATAATATTTTTAACTATTTATTGATATATTCATTTTGTTTTTTTTTCAACCACCATCCTATTTCCCACCTGGCCAATATGTAATATCACATTATTTTTATAAGTTAAGAACATTTTCGTCGAACTTTACTCCGGTAAACTAATCAAAATAATATTTTAAAAGCAATTTTTGATGCTTTTCAGTGTAAAATGATAATACGAGTATATTATCCATCATACAATTACCATGATATATTTTATTGCATTAAGATAAGTGAAGCGAGAAAAATACTTAACATAAATATTTGTTATCCACTTAAAATGTATAATTTTTTATTTTTGTACTCATTTTAATATAGTAAATATATTTTTTTTTCTAGTGCTAGAGGTAATTTCTACATGAAGACTAATAAAACGAATATTTCTTAGTATTTTAAAATATATAAATATAATAAATACATTATAAATATTTACAAATAGGTAATACATAATGTTTACAGTAAATTAAATGTATTTTAACACATATTACGAAATTATCTAATTGATGTTTAATATATTAACAATGTTCACTTTTAACATACAATAAATTTAAAAAAAATTTAGATACTTTTATTTTTAATTTATTTGTTAACTATCATACATTTTAATTTAATTTATACTTATTAAATGTTTAATTAAAGAGTGAGTAGATTTAAGTTCCATAGCCGATGCGTATAATCATACAACCACTCATTTGAAAATAATTGTAACTTAAACTATAAATACCAATTTCCTAGATAACAGTTTAATTACCTTACCATTTTGTAATAAATCAAAAATTGGGTAAATTAAATAAGTATTATGAATGCATTACTTTTTAATAAAACATGAGCCAAGATTTTATGTCGTGATTTTTTTTTATAATAGTTAGGTTAAAGCATTTTAGGAATCTGATCTTATCTCTTTTATCTATTATAAATTTAAAGCCGGGTTTACACTAAACGTGTAAGTTTTAAGCGAACAAACGCTAAAACATGTAATCAAATATCCTGATATTCAAAAATTTGAATCTGTATACTGCAAGTAAGTTGCTCTAAAGATTTACATGCCTAGAAGATGAAAATCCACAGAGCCAATAGACACATTGGATAAACTTAATAAAATATAAAATACGTTTAAAAAGAAATAAACAACACAATTTAGATTTAGCATACTGGTGTATCCTCGGTGTATGCCGGTCAAGGTTTTGGATGTTTTGGTTTGCTAGATCAGTATTTCTCAATCATGGGTTACGACCTAATTTTGGGTCGCGAATAATTTTGATTAGCTAGCCAAAATATTAAATCATTTATTTAATACTTGAATTTTAAAGATTTAGATTTTGATTAACTTGAATTAACTGAAATAATTTTAAAAATAACTATATAGAAAAATAGTTTACGTAGATAATTATTTGTATTGATAAACAAGTAAACACATAAAAATTCATAATTTTAAATGTTGGTCTTTCAAAGCTATAAATAAAGATGTACTTTATCAGTTGATATTTACAGAAAACTATTAAATCTAATAATTATTTGAAGTGCATTTTTCTTGGTATTAATTATTTTTTCAATTACTTATTTCAGAAACATCGAAAAAACTTTTTTTTTTTTAAAAAAAAAAGAAACGTTTTTTACAAATGTATACTGAATAGTTTCCAAATGTATTTTTACTGATGTATCTGTCGTCTTAAATTTATATTTATAACCATAGAAGTTTATAATGTATACTGTGTACTTACAAACATTTATTTAAGAATTAAAAACTAAAAAATATCAAAATTCTAATGCCATTAAAAAATAAAAAATATGATAATCTAATCACGTATACTTAGTTGTACTTAAATTAATCAAATTACAAAATAAAGCTAATACACACTCTACATATGTCAAAAATGCATTGAACATTTTTATGAATGCTATAGAACTGAGTGTAAAAAGAGGATAAAAAAAAAAAAAACTTACCAACGCAGACAGCCTCCTTTTACGTGGGAATTAACCCTTGTCTGCTTTCGTTGTTTGGCTTCTTATTCTTATGAACTATAATAATTAAACGGGACAGGACAAGGTGACCAATTTACAATATATGCCGCATATGGTGAATAAATAAAATAACACACCGTATACATATAATGACGGCAAGCCAGCAGCACCGCCGTGTTATTGAAATAAACAAATACAACTATAAATTCAAGGTATACAAAGTACATATTGATTGGTTACATATTTGATTGGGGCGCCCGCTAACTAAAAATAATATACATAAAGGACAATACGACCAGAATTAAAATAATGATATAAACCAATAAATGAACCTGACATTGCTCCAGTGCACGGACAGCACGTTGTATTCTCACCGTCGCCGACTCACACCACCATCAACCACAGCCCACACAACTCCAATGGTCCACGGCAGCAACAGCGGCACCAACAGCCACGTGAACTGGACGTCGAAAACCGTCGCACGTCAACAGCAACGACAGTGGCAACAACAGCCGCAACAACAAAACGTCGTACGCCAATGGCCACAATAGCGACAACAACGGAACGTCGCACGCCAAAATGGCAACAATGATGGTACACCGGACCCAGAGCGCCGTCGACCATACAGCCAGGAAAAAGAGACGCCGACGACTGACTTGCACCGCAATGTTCCGACGACCGGTGCTCGGTGTAGCGATAAAAGGTCGGGGGGTGGTGGTGTCGATTGGAAGATTCTAGAAGAGCCAAGAAAACGCAATATCGCATTATCGCATAAACCGGACCGGTTTGTCTCGGATAAGTGTATTTTGTACACTGAGAGTACTGTGATTGAGTGTGTGATTGATGAATGATTGAAATTGTAAGCTGTATTTTCGAAAGAAAATTGATCATAGTCCAGCCCCCTTGATGACCGCGACGGATATGACCTTTTATTAACCTAACTGCTGCATTTTTACTACAATTCGAAAAAGTGCACATAGCACAGTACAACTACGCAAAGGACTTTTGGTTATATCTGCGTTTGGAAACATGACTTTATGTGATTGATACCGTGACGCTCAAAACCTGACGTAATCATGCTGTTGATTACTACATCATTCACCAGCAGTGGCGTAGCAAGCATATTTCAAACCCTAAACAAAGTATTTAAACAATGATCCACCCCTCCCTTTTCTACCTAATTTACAGGTATATGGATGTAACTATTAAATTGTATAACCTATAGGATTTTCCTTAATTCCTTTCAAATGGGTGCATGTAAACTCTGCCACAAGTACCTTTTTTTTACTGTAAACTCCGCCAGAAAAAAAGGTAAAATTGAGTTCATGTAAACACCGCTAGTGAAGAAAATCAAGTAGTAGTATAAAATGAATATGTTTTATTATTAAAAATGTATAATATAATATAATATCATATCATATCGCTCACATTAAATATTTAAATCATAATAAATAATCGTTAAACCTAATAATCCAAAAATATATAATTATATAATGTATGTAAACTAAAAAGATGTGATACAATTTATAAATATTTTTTTAATACTTGTAAGTCTTGTATTATTCCATTAGTGTACCTATTTATAGCATCCTGTAACACTGTCATTTTTTTTTATTTCGAATCTTTTTACTTATTTACTGAAGATATACCATTTAGTTTTATATAAGTATGGAATTGAAATTCGGTAAGAACTTTACTAAAAATATGAACATTCGATTGACTTCTATAAAATTAATTTCTTAGATGACTATGAAAGGATTCACAAGCAAAACACAAAAAAAAACTGACGGAGTTTACATTAGACCTTTTATTACATTTTTATCTTAACTGATATTCTGGCGGATTTTACAATCGCCCTTTCAAATACCTAACCTATCTACCATATGTGCATATTAAATTATTTTTCAATGCATGTAATTAGCCAATTAATTTAATTATTTAAATAAAATGTTCATAAATACATGAGCTAAAGGATACCCAGCCTCTTAACAGGTTTCTAAGGCTAATCTATTACATTAGGTAAGGTCTTGTTTTTGCGACAAGAAGTTGAAAGCGTCCATTTGATTCCATCCAATTTTAAAATCAGCTCAACAGGTCGCCAGTCGTTAAAAATGTATCCGTACTGTACAACTGTAAAGCAAATTCTAAATTTTTTTATTGTAACATGAGAATACTGACCGTTTGCTGAAAGGGCTCTTTTTTAAGTAATTAGCCCCTTACGACTTGGAGCACTAGGAAATTGCTAGAACAAAATAAAACCAAGTAAATGTGCTCGGATCATACAGTTAGAAAAATGATTTATTCATTCAAGTAATAATATTTAAATTAATTAACGTAAACGAATACGATATACCAAATCTATAAATATTTCGTATTGTTATTATTACTCCTCCACTTGTACGAACGTGTAATATGGTAAGCGAGGTATAAATTGTAGCCGGAAAATCTTTTTATAATTTTATTCGATAAAGTTGTTTCTTTAATGTATATTTAATGTTTACTTTGTGATAGTTTAAAAATATGTAGAACGTATTTATTTGAGATTTAAAGCCGTGAGCATTTTAGTTAATTAATATTATATTTTGATTATACATTAATATTATTAGTTAAATATGTATTAATTGAACTATACATTTATTTGTCAACAGGAAAAGTGCTTTAAAAAAGTTATTATCTGTATTATTAAATTTATTAAATTTAATAGCTGTTGTTATAGTTATGAATATTGTGTTGTATTTTTTGAATAATTATTTTGTGTTGACAACTGATTCGTTTGATTTGGAATGTACTGGTATTAGTTAATTTTTTAATAATTTTTTTATTTTTTATTTCTCTTTTTTTTGGTGATTTGGGTGCATTCTTTATAGTTGGCTAGGTATTTTCCATTAGTAATGGATGTAGCTAAGATTTGAATCAGGGGAGAGGGGGCAAAAACATAAAGCAATTAGTGTTAAGCTTGTAATTCAAATTATCTACAGATAAACTATTGAATAACACATAAAACGTCAAAACGATTACACGTGTAGATAACACTCGGTCCCACTAAACTATTTTTAGACTTATATCTTATTTAATTTTTGATTTTAATGTCAAACTTACACGTTTGGTATAAATAAATAGAATTCAGTTTGAGGCGCAAGAGGGGGGGGGAAATCCCCCCTTGTCCCATCCACGCTACGCCCATGTTCATTACTATTAACGCGTTTGGGGAATGTCATTTTTCTTTGGACAGAGACTAAAATTATGGTCATCGGCACATTTTACATCCTTAACCTAACCTTAGGTGCATACCCTGAAAAATGTATACCTTTTTTATGAGACACAATTTATGTGTTCCCTTTTACGCATTGGGAGGGCTGATGACAGCACTTTTTTGAGTGAGAAAAACGTTGGCGTTGTTGCTTCGAGGAATATCCTTTGAGGGCTTCCTGGCTTCGACTAGTACAACGAAATGAAGACATCTATTTAATGAAAAATATAATATAATATTTTTGTGTAAGAATTGGATAGCAAAACTGCAAAAATTAGAATTATGTAACAGTGCGACAGAGGTTATTTTATAATTTAATTCATCTAAAGCCAAGGGCGTATTTGAGAGGTGGCGAAGAGGGAATTCGCCCCCCCCCCATGACTCTTATTTTTTTTTTTTTAATTCATTGATTTATTTAAAAAATATAATTTATAAATAATTAAGAATATAAATTACTAGTCTATCATTATAAAATGTTATCATTATAACGGGAACATGAGCTGTAGGTAATGAACTGTAAATTATTTTAAAGTTTGTATTGAAGAAAAATTAGTTTCGTTCCTCCCCCCATGGCCTCAACTCAAATACGCCCTTGTCTAAAGCTTTAGAAAAAATATTTTCAGATATTGAGACTTGAAGATGGCAAATATTGACCAAGAGTTGTTTGTCTGATAGAAGCTAATAAGCATGGAATTCCATTTCGAAATAATCGAAGTTTTTTGTAACTTATCTATAATCTTCGATTGAAGATAGATTTAATTTTATAACAGTTTTGGTTTGAGTTTCGTTGAATTCTTCGATAATTATGAAATGTTTCGAAGTCCATTATTTTATGAACGTAAATTGGAGGTATTTTTTTCACTAACTTTGGGTGGTGATTGTTCGCCTTTCTCGTCAAAAGAACCTAGGTCCATATCATAATTTTGCAGATTTTTAAGAGGTAAATAACTTTTTTTTCTTGTGCTAAAAGGTGAGGGCGTAATGTTATATGGTCTCCTTTTTTTCTTTTCCATTTTAAAAGAGAGAAAGTCGGGTCCCAGAGAATCCATCCCCTTTTTTGGAGAGCATACCGTTTGTGTTGTACAATACGGTGCTGTTATTGACACAAAAATACGCGCAACGATTACGATCGTACACGGTGGCGTAAAACTGAGTACATGCAGTGACGCATTTAAGGGGGGGCGAAAGGGGCAAATGCCCCGGGTGGCAAATTTTTAGGAGCGGCAAAATATTCTAACTTTTATTATTGATGTATTCATGATTTTTTTAATTTTCACACCTTTTTCGGTATTGTTTAGTATTTTAAAAAATATTGTTGAGCATCTAATAAGAAATTAAAAAAATTATACTATACCTAGTCATCTAGGTAATAGTAAAATAGCAAAATAGGTATATTACATTTATTATTCGATAAGATATTATAATATAATATTATTTTCGTTCAATGTTTATAATAAAGAATCGGGTATACTGATGTGCCGTGGGTAAATACCCGAAGGGTAGGAAAATATTTTGGGTATATACCCACTATAATATTTACCTACCAAAAATTTGGGTAAATATTTTTTTTTTATTGCCAAACATAATTATTTTTATTAAATAAATTTAATTTTAAAATTTGAAGCGTTTTGGTTAGTTTTTAAATTCTTAGATTTATTTGTTTCCCCATTAAAATTGTTATTGGTTTTAAAATGAATAAAATTACCTAACAAAAACTTCATACATATAATTTATGTACTCTAAGACTTGGATAAACATGAAAAAGTCAGGAAACAATCATAAAAAAGTATTGTGATACCCATAAATTGGTTTTAGCATTACAAATAAATTTATCCAATTTATCGGATAAATACCCGGTATTTACCTGAAATTATATTTACCGGGTATTTGCCCATCACTACTCGGGTACACAGAACGCGGTATTCACTTTAGAGCACATTTAAAAAGTTTACAAAAAGAGTAAAATTGTACCTAAAAGTGTTCAATGTATGTTAGTATTTATAAAAGAGAATAGTTTAGTTGAAGTATATCCTTGTATTGATATTACTCTAAGGATGCTACTATGTATGTACACTTTTAAGTAATTGTTTAATGGAAAAATCATTTTCTACATTAAAAAGGGTCAAAACTTATTTAAGATCAACAACGAGAGAAAATCGTTTTAATCAATTAACAACCCTCAACATTTAAGCTGATTTAACGAACACTATTAATTTTAATGATTTTATTGAACATTTTTCTTCTCAAAAGTTAAGAAAAAAATTATAAGCTATCGATTATTTTATTATATATAATTAATAATTAATATAATATATATAATCTAATAAAAAACCATGTATTGTTAATCATTGTGCATATAATAAGTGTTAATTCCGTTTTCTATAATTAATATATATGTATATATATATATTTTTAAGAAAGGAATATTCACTTTGAAAAAAAAATTAGGTTAACGTTAGGATATGTATTACTATAAAATTATCTAATACAATACCGTAAATCAACTGATTTATAATTTGTTTCATAAAATTAATTTTTTTATTGCTTAGCTTTGAATTTATTTATATATATATTTATTTTTTTTTTGATAAAAGGGAAGGGCGGAAAAATTATTTTGCCCCGGGGCGCGTATATATTCAATGCGCCACTAAGTACATCTAAAAATGAAATTATTCTTTGATTTTAATTAATTTTAATACAAATAAATACAAACGTCATTCGTTGAACAGAGAAATATAAATGTCAACTTTTGAATTTTGAATAACAGATAAACAAATAAAAACCCATTTATGTTTATAATAATCATTTTTGTAGAAAAAATAAATTCATACTCCGTATACAGTGTTGAGTTCAGATAGCAAAAATAACATCTAGATAAATATTAGATTACTAGCTAAATCAATATCTAGATTAATATAAAGATAGAATATTCAATTTTTATCTAGATAAATATGTAGATAAAATTTTTTCATCTAGATTTATATTTTACAATAGTTAATTTGTATTTGTAATGCTTGTATTTTTAATTTGCATTTGTAATGCTTGCCATGTTATTGGATTCTTGGTTGAGTAATTGATTAAGGGAGGCAAACCAGGAAGGCTCGTTTCGTGTCAAAAATATATTACCTAATGAATAAATATACATATAAAATATTTAAATACCTATATAATATTATATTTAGCATACAGTAGGTACCAATTTCAACATATAACAAAATATCAAATAACCAAAATCATGGTAATGATTTTGTGACAGTTTTGACAAGAAGCTTTGATTTTGTCACCATTTATCGACACCAGTTTATATACTGTATCAAATAAATACTGAAATTTAAGTTCTGGCAATGGTGCAGGAACATCAACAGCAGGCGGAGGTGGGTCATCGACATTTTCTAGACAAATTCTTTTATTGGGTGTTGAAGACGTTATACTTAAAAAACGATCCATATTGGCAGTAAACAAGAAAAACTTGAAAAGAGCAATAAAGTTTACGAAACGAAGTTGTAAATAACAATGAAATTACTCAACACTCATCAGTCTGTGCTCTATAGGGAGTCGCAATAGTAGTAGCCACTAGTCAGTCCCACGGATTATAAATGTATAACCACAAACTATTATCGAATTGATTCAATGAGTGTGACCACGACAGACCAAAGTATAGTCTAGTGACTAGTATCTGGTAAAGAAATTAAATTATTGTACAAATATTATTATTTATAACATCCAATTGGGAATTGGTATTGTCAATACAAAATAGATGTGCGTGTGTATTCTTGCCGGCGGAGAACTATTTTTAGTATTTTCCACATTATTTACCGATCGACGGGACGTGTGGTGGGGTATAACTGTATAAGTGTATAACAGCTTGTATTGATATACGACCGCGACAGCGTCTGCAGTCGGCGTACGGGTTCTTTTGTTAATTTGATAATAATGAATCGTCATTAAAGATTAAACATAATTGCATAGTATCATATTATTATAATATTTGATGGAAAATGACTAAATGAAAAACGTGCATTATAAAATGAGATTTATCTAGATATTTATGTAGATTTCCGTAACTTAAATCTTAATACCAATTAGATATTATATAATTCATTCATCTAGATAAGATAAAGGTACTTAATTTTCATCTAGATAAATTATCTAGATAAATGTATCTAGATACAACTCAACACTGTCCGTATAATTCGTGTATAAACTGCACATGTACAACTATCAATCATCTTATCAGAAAGTGAGTGATAAAAATGAAATGAACAGCAGCTATCTTCGCGTTCTTCACAACAACATTAATAGGTGCAAGGTACCATTGATTATAAATGCTCAAATCGATGTAAATGTAGACTGCAATTTAAAACTTTTAATTATAATTATTCTAATTATGTTATTGTTTTGTTTTTTTCGTGGTTAACCAGTAAGTATTCTTATTGTTACTTTATCTCAGCTCTTATTATATTTATTTTATTTATTGTTCTATAATGGGTATTTATATTTGTATTAATGTTCTTATTTATATTTCCAAAAAATGTGTTATTATATTTATGTATTTGATCAGTTATTGATGTTTCCTTTTTGATTTTGGATATTAGATTATTTTATGTTACTTTAATCATAATATACATTTAATTTGCGTTATAGCTGTTTTAGTACATAAAAAATGGATCAACACAACCCTCTTGTATTCGGAGCCACAGTTAACAATGGATTATATGAATTTCCTGAAGTATTAGATAAAAACGTAGATGATATTATTGTAAATGAATGTGATGCTATTCCATCAAAACCACCTGATCGGTAGTATAAAAATAATTTAAGAATTACCATATGACGCCTTCATAGTATTTTTTTAGTTCAACTAAATTACTTATAAGATTATATTACTTTAATCAAATAATAACTTGTAAACTTTCAGCTACTCAAACTATATAATATATTATTAAACATAATTTTTCAGGTATTATTTTGGATTGTTAATTTTTTATGTACTTGGTACTTGTCTTCTCCTGCCTTGGTACTTTTTTATAACTGCAAATGATGTAAGTATTTAAGTTAATTTCAATTTTCATACTTCTACAATTTTATTAATTTTTAGTACTGGATGTATAAACTACGGACACTGCCTAATGATACACAAATTAATTTTTTCTTCTTAAACAAAGATGATCATCATACAAAACTTCAAGCAAACTTTACTTCATTCCTTACCATTGCTGCATCTGTTCCTAGTACATTAACTCTATTATTTAACACATATTTAGCAAAAAAGTAAAAAAAATCATAAATATAAAATAAATAAATAAAAACATATAATAACAATTTATATTCTAATTAAAGAATTTAAAACATTTTTCATACTCTAGGATATCAATTAATTTTCGGATGATCAGTTCATTGATGTTGATGTTAATTTTATTCATAGTCACAACAGTTTTAGTTCATTTAAATTCTGACACATGGCAAATATTATTTTACGCCATTACATTAGGAACAGTAATTTTGCTGAACAGTAAGTTTACTTTTTACTAATTAATTTATATTTTAATAAACTAATTTATTTATATTTTTAGTTGGGAGTTCTATTATGCAAGGAGCTGTTTTCAGTTTAGTCAGTTTTTTTGACAGTTATTATATGACAGCAACTGTAAGTGGACAAGCATTGGGAGGCATTGTTGCTGCATTAGCTCAAATACTAGCTTTGTGGTGGGGTGCATCATCAGTCCATAGTGCCTTTGTTTATTTTTTATTTGCTGATCTGTTCATTTTGTTTTCTCTAGTGCTATATGCTATTTTAGTGAAAACAGTTAGTAATTTATAATATATTATTATATTTTTAAAAAAAATACTTATAGTATGTAAATATTATAGTGCTATAATAGAATAAATGGTATTTGTTTAATATCCTACCTGATATTTTTAAATAGTACATATTTCATAAACTTTATTTTAACTATTTTATGTATTTTTATTTATTGATTAATATTGCTATATTTTCAAAACAATATTTTTCATGTTTATTAAGAGTAAATTTACATAATTTCACAAAATAACTAAATTTATTGATTGATACTAATCTTTAAGTTATTAATGTTGAATATTTGAGTTATTCCTCACATACAAAACAAATACAAAAACCATTTATATATGTAAAAAAAATTAATTAAAATTATTTATGAATTTTTAGATGTGTAATACATATGTATATATTCTTTTTTAGGACATTTATAAATATTATGTTCAAGATATACCTGCTAGTACCTGGATTAGACATTCATCTTCTACCCAATATTCTTTACTTGATTCAGACCAAGTATCTGTAGTTAATAATTATGATGTTTTAAAAAAGGTAGATTTCTTTATTTTATAACTGTTTATTTTTAATTATTTTTTAGGATATAATAAATACATATAAGATTTCAACAATTTTACGAGTACAATTGATGAATTTAATTAAATAACATCATAATTATTTGTGTACACTATGAGTAATTCAAAATAACAGTAATTAATAATTTAATATTTTCCTCATACATTTTATATTTATATAATTCAAAACTTAGTAATATAAAAAACTACTTTTTGTCCCAAGGTATTCATTCGTTTTTTTTTATAAAAATCCTTAGAATCTAAAAAACAAATTAATTTTGCTAAAATTTATCTGTAAATACCTATTTATACCTTAGGTAGATATTTATTATAGTTGGACTCTTAGTTAATAATTCAAATTTTGTAAAAAATTTAAGTTTATAACTATTATCGTGTATTATATATCAATATTAAACCAAAATGAATTACATGTTCTAATTTTTCATAATAAAAATATACACATTTAATCGTATTTATTATACATATTATACCTATTATACATTGAACTATTAATTTATTCTTTATTAATAATTGTACTTTTTAGATATGGAAATTGGGTTTGAGTATTTGTTACAATTTCTTAATCACTATGTCTGTCTATCCAGCAGTTACAGTACTAATAACTTCTTTGAACAAAGAACATAATGCATGGACAAGTAAAGCTTAAAAAATTGTATGATGTATTCTATAAATGTAATATTTTTGAAAATATTTATTTTTCCAGGTATATATTTTTTGCCAGTAATAGCTTATTTACTTTTTAGTACATGCGACTTCTTTGGAAGAATTATGTCAAACTTCATGAAATTGGTAATAATTGCATTATATTTATTGGTTTAGAGATACATGTATTATTGTCACACATATATAGATATTTTAGGCAGCGGCATATTTAGGAACTTATTTTTTTTTTGGGGGGGGGTCATACCTTATAGTGAAATAATTTTATAAATTAGTATAAAATGTTCTTTATTACCTTATTATTTAAATACTAAATAATAATAATAATAGTTAATTACTAAATTAAACGTATGATCGTATTAATTGTATTTTATATTACTTTATGTTGCGCATAGATACATAGTGCATACTGACAACTGACATGATGTGATAGTCACGAACTAAGATATTGATAATCTTATCAACCGATAATTTCCCTACATCAGATTATTTATATACCATGTGTGTGTGAGAACTGTGTGGTCAATTATTATTACTATTGGATTACAATTTAATTATAAGCCATATTAAAATTTTTTTTTCATTATCTTTTAATACTTTATTGAATAAACAAACTAAAATTATTATATTACTGATATGTTTAAAATTTGACGTTTTTAAATAGTTTTTGGGGGTGGAAACCCCAAGCACCTCCTCTCCCCATAAATACGCCACTGATTTTAGGAGTGTGCAGGCACGTAGTCAGAAAATATTCACTAGGGGGCCCCCTCCTCCCAGGACTTTTTTATATTATAAAAAGGTAGTTATCAGCGTATCATTACTACAAATATATATGTATATAACCTATTAACAGTGCTCGACTTGGCAAAATTAAAGAAGGGGACTCTGTTTGCTTAAAAAAAAATTGCGTCCCCAAAACTTATTAAGCGTTATAATTATAACATCATAATAATAGGGGGACGCTCAAATTACTAAAAAATTAGAAGGGGTACACCGTCCCTCTGCGTTCCCCCTCAAGTCAAGCACTGCCTATTAATACCATATTTTATCATTTTGCTTTTCTTTTTGTAATTTTAGTTTTTTTTTAGCACATCCACTGAGAGGTGCCATTTTAAAATTAATTTAAATATTAAATGTATAAGATAAAATTTATAAATACTATAAATTGTACAAATATTAACGCGGGTGACGTTAGCATAAGTGCAGCGTGCGCTGAATGTGTAAGTGCCCATTCAGAGACCATAATATAATTCTATATTTCTATATGAATCAATATAATGACAGTACCCTCGCTCTAAGTATTTTAAAAATAGACATACAAATATACAGTAGTCACTGTCTAGATATGATAAGAACAACTTGACATTGTAGTATAGTACCGGTATTTAGCTATAAATAGCAATTATATCCTAATCGATCATTTAAATTAAGTTACTAGTTACATTACTTAGATTATAATTAAAACCCAATGTATTTGGTTTTATTTGCGTCATATTTAGGCAATATTAAAAATATGGTAAAAATTAAAAGCAATCATATAATTATGAGCCCCTCTCAATACTTTAGGTGGGCCGGCCTAAGGCCGGACACATTAGGGTGGGCCAGGCACACCCTGGTCCTCCTTTAGCTACGTGCCTGGGAGTGTGGTACAAAAAATATTTTGGGATAGCTGTGATTATTATTATATCAGTTGCATTAATCAATGCAATCAATGACTTAATTACTTGTTCTTGTATCTGTATAATGTTATTGTTTAATTTATAATGTGACAATTTTACTAGAGTTCTCAAAAGCAAAATTTATTTCAACATTTTTAATACGAGTTATTTTATTACAGCCAATTGATAGTATTTGGCCATCTGTTATATTATCATTCATGAGAACTATTTTTATACCCTTGATAATGCTCTGTAATGCTAATCCTCGACATAATTTACCCATCTTGATAAACAATGATCAATGGTATGCTGTTATCATATCAGTATTTGGTTTTACCAACGGCATTGTTTCTAACATCACAATGACATCTATACCTTAGTAAGTATTAACATTGATTATAGATAGTATCCATAATCAATGGTATTAACAATCATTCTGATATTTTCTCTATTGTGCTATATATTTATAAAACAAAAATTTCTTTGTTTAAAGCTTTGTTGATAAGCATGAACAAGAAGTAGCAAGTTCTCTGATGATCACATTTTTAGGTATTGGCATTTCTACAGGATCATTGATAAGTTTTGCAATGGTTAATTTATTATAGAAATAAAAATATTTATAAACATAAATGTCTATATTAATTTATAAAATAAAAACATAAATGTTCAAATTGTTCTCAATTGTATTTGTATATTACTTTTAATTCTTAGTTAATTAAATGTTTTTTATATATTCCAATGTTAAAAATAATGTTTATGATTTTGTATTTTTTTTAATTATAATTTTCAAATGTATTATGATAGCTAAGCTTTGTAGTCTTTTTAAGAGATAATAATTTTTTTTTTTTTTTATGTACAAAATGCTTATATTATATTATGTATATACAGGGGTGTTCCTTAACAGAATGTACGAAATACACGTCGTATACTCTCAAGATATTTTTTCTAAATTCTGTGTGTACTACATATATTCTCAAACCATAGCAGAAGAAAAATCAATAGCCAAAATACTATATATCATTGACTTATTATATATTGACTATACTAATCAGCATATAATATACTATTTGTAAGGGTAGGTTAGGATTAAAAATGTCACCAGGATTTAAACTTAAGTGGCCACATCTATATACCTACCTAATGTTTGCATTAGTGATGGGTCGAAACCTGATTTTTTTAATTGAACCAAACTTTAAATTATTTTTTCAAACTCAAACTGAACCAAATCTTCATATTTTCTATTGAACCGAACTTATTATGATTTTAAGTCTAACTCGAACTCAATACTTTTTATCATGTACATTGTACCTATTTACAAATTAAATCAACCATAATTATTAATTACAAGTGTATTTTAAGTTTTTGTATTACCTATTATACGTTTTAACTTTTAAGTCTAAGTAATCGTATTATTTACAATACATTTAAATTTTAGATTATTTCTTATTATAATTTTTCAAAATCAGTAACTCTCCGACTTCCAGAAAATGCAATGAAAAAAATTAGTGAAAAATTGAATTTTATAAATCCAAATGTAACTTAAGCTTCACTAAAAGAGGAGTTTCTTGACTTTATACACAAATTTGACTCTTTAAAACAAAATATAAGTTTTAGTTATGTAAACGAGGATGAAGATTTAGATGACTATAATTTAGACGAAAAAGAATATCCAATTAGTGAAAATGCCTGTAACAAGTGTTCAAATTGTAATCATTGCTGTTATATTATTTTGTTGAGATATTCTTTGTATTGTTCAGCCTATCCTTCATTATTCTTGGCTTATAAGTATATACTAACTTTGTCTATATCACAAGTTTCTTGCGAACGGTCATTTTCTAAGCTCAAATGCATCAAAAACAGGTTGCGTAGTACACTATCATCTTCACACATGGAACAACTTATGATTATATGCACAGAAAAAGATATATTAAACCAACTTGAAAATAAAAGAATTATTGACAAATTTGCATCTCAAAATAAACTACTCAAGACACTATTAATCTTATAATGTATTATATTTATCTTATAAATACAAAATAAATATTAATATTATATTACATACTTGTTTATTTATATTATTCATTAAAAGTTTAAAAATATTATACATGCCTACTGGTATTTATTGATAAATGTATACATGTTTAAAGAGTTAGTTACTTTTTTTTTCACCAGCACAACCAAAATAATATAAGTGAATTTATCAAGTTACCTTGTACAGCTATACATTTATAATTATTGCATTAAGAATTACTATAAAATAATCTAATATAATATAGTATAAAAGTGGTACGGTAAAAAAATATTACCACTTTAATACAGTGATGAAGTAAAGTAACAAAAAATTTAGTTGTAACTTAATATTAAATTTATGTTATTCCTACAAAAAAATGGGGGGGATTGGTTGGTTCCCTCAAAGTAGAGTAAATTATTTTTTTAGATCTTGGATATGATCATATGGGCCGCTAAATTCTGTTTTTCCCGGGCCGGTCAGATCATGCCTATCCGCCCCTGCTTGGTTTTGGTTCTATTAAATTTAATTCTTGTATATTTGTATCATTATAAATAGTTGTATAATTAATAGTGTCATTCGTTTCTGTATCATTTACTTGTTCTATTTCTGGTTTTTCTATTATAAATGGATCATAAAATGATTTATCCAAGACTTGTTCTTCAAAAGCAATTTTAGCTATATTAAAATGGTCTGCAAGTGTTATAGGACGAAAATTATCAGATTTAGTATTAAAAAATTGATAAATAGCATACTGATGCTTACAGAATTTTTCAGTCAAGGCAATGGAACAAGAACAAAGTCCACTTTATAATAATACAATAAAGTTTCTTCTTGTTCACTTGACACTAAAAATTCATTATCATTTTCTTGTACAATCATTTCTTTTTTTAAGTATGTAACTTATCATTTTTTGTATCATTAATCTTATTGAGGAAGTTCTACTGTTTGCAAATTCTCTTAATTTTCTTTTTTAATAATTTTCTAAAGCTGAACTACTTAAATCTATTAAGGCCAAAACATTGTACGCTTTTAATTTACATATATAAATGTTATCATGTTATCACAGACGTAATACAGTCAATGAGAGCCCTCAATTTCCCAGGGGTCTCTAGCAATGTATGGTATGCTTATATGCCGCGCCGTGATGGAGGTCGCTCGATCGGCGGAGTATGGGCAGCAGCTGTGCTGCCATCTGTACGATTTGTTAGTCGGGAGTCGCTCCGCCACAATACGTCTGTGGTATTGACGCAACATGTGGATTCTACACTGATAACGTCGTTTTTCAAATTCATTGCACAGAATAGCTACATATTCGTTATTACCGCTATCTTTAGTATAATAATATCGACATAATCGGTATTATATGGGTTTCTCCATTTCAACATTCATATTTAACCACCCGTGGCCGTAGCATCCGTGCTTATCGGTTATCGACGGAGTTCTCACCACCGCCTAAAATTCCTGTCGTTTTGATTATTTATTCTCGTCGCGCTTACTGGTCGTCGTCGTCCGACTTTCTATTCGGGTAGTCGAGTGTGTTAATTGGAATACTCCCACATCTTTAATATATTATTCAGTCGTTTATTCTAACATTCAAGTTAGTTGTACACTCACTTTTTCTATTCACACGGTGTACATCTCACGATGAGTTTCAGCCCTCTATCGTCCAATCAAGTTTTGGCAATATTGCCCGCCAACACGTGGACCGAGGTATGCTATTTTTTTAATTTAATTTAATTTAGAAAATATTACGATCTGTACACGATGCCATAAGAAATTATTACAAACAATGTATAACAGTATACATCCGTGACATGATGTAAGGTGTTCATTGACATCACATTAAAACAGAAAAAAAAATTGAGGTAGGATATTTAATCAGTGTAGATCTTGCCCATTTTATTCTTAAAGAATATAATGATTTATTGGCTTAACCCATCAGGCATAATTCTAGTTTAACAACCTATTGATTTTTTTAATTTTTTTTCCAAAATGTGTGTTCTAGGGTGTTTTATAAGTATGCCAAAAAAAAACTTCAAAAACTTAGTTTTTTTCATAATGCTCATTTTTTTTTAATAAATACTTAGAATTGAATATTTAATTTTAATTTTCACATATTTACGTTTTTATTGTCCCTGTTACCTACTTATGGTGGTTTTGCATAGCAAGTCGAGTGATATTTTCGATTTGTGGAGCGAAGCGATGTCATTACTCGCATATGAGTGATATTTTCGATTTGTGGAGCGAAGCGATGTCATTACTCGCATATGAGTAATATATATATTACTCATTATAGGACCCATCATGTTCAATCGTCTTCTTCTGATGGCTTTGAGTATCTCTCTTCGTTCCTTTATTTCACTAAGTATATTTTTGTTGGTATGGTGTTCTATCCAACTCACTCTCAGCATCCTTTTTTAACACCACATTTCGAAGCTTTCAAGTTTACCTTTTTAATATCCATGTTTCACAACCATAGAGTCCCACACTTCATACATAAACTTTTATAAAACATTTTCTCATCTAAATACTCATGTTATCAGAGCAGAGCAATTTTTTCTATTTCATAAATGTTGACTGCTTGTGCGATTCTGGATCTTATTTTTGTTGATGCATCTTCCGTTTTGGTTGATTATACTGCCTAGGTATTTATAATGTTCTACTTGTTCCCTGTTTGGATATTTATTCTCTACAGATTCATTCTTTTTTTTTGACATCATAATTTTTTTGCCAGTTGATAATCAAATGATATTTTCGAAAGTATCTCATCATTTCTTCTAGTGCTTTTTCCAAATCATGCTCATTATTTGTTAGTAGTGCATTTTCGTTAGAGAATCTCAAGAAGGACATTATTTTGCTGTCCACTTTTATTCCTATATTATTTCTGTGCAGGGTTTCTCTTATTTCTTTAATAGGCTGTTTGATGTATGTATTAAATAGAATTGGTGAGAGTGGACAACCTTATCTTACACCCTTCCTAATTATAGCTGTTTTTTTTTTTGTCCATTACTTTTATTGTTGCTGATTGATCTTTGTATAAATTATATATTATCCTTCTAACCCTCTATTCATCTCCAATACCTTCTAAAGTATAAAATGGTTCTTTCCACGGTACATTATCGAAGCCTTTTCCAGATTTATAAATGCTATAAATGTGTCTTTATTAAATTCTATTTGTGTTTCTATCAATATTCTTAAGCTTAAGATTGCCTCTCTAGTACCTTTGTTCCTTCTGAACCCTAGTTGATCAGCGCTTAATTCTTTTTCTACTTTGTTCTCGATTAGGATGCATATTATTTTTATTAGGATTTTGGCTGCAAGTGTCATTAAATTTATTACATTATTCAGCCGTTGCTTTTTTAGGTATAGGGATTATAATGCTCTCCTTGAAATCTTTGAGGATCTCTCCCGTAGTGTATATATCATTCACTAATTTAAATAGTTCATCTTGTAATTCTGTATTCTCATTTTGGATTAGTTCTATTGCTAAGTCGTCTATATCTGCTGCTTTACATATTTTCATTAGCTTCAAAGTTTTATTGAACTCATCTCTTAAGATGACTCTCCCTGCATATCTGGGTTATTATTATTGAGATTGGCTGTTTTTCCTTCTTGGTATAAAACTTCAAGATATTGTTTCTATTTTGTCGTTGTCAATCAAGTTTCCATCCATATCTCTTATTTTGTTGTTTAGTTTCGTTTTTGCTTCAAAAAATTTCTTAATTATATTAAACACTTGATCCATTCTATTATTTCTAAGCAATTGTTCTACTTCTTGGCATTTTTCTTTTAACCATTTCTCTTTTGCAATTTTCTATTCTATATTAATTGTATTCTTTAGCTCTTTGTATCACCATATTCCATGATTATCCTTGGCGTTTTTATCCTTTCTTCTCTTTTCAATATCTCTTATAATATTATCGTTTATTTATGGTTTCTTTGGCTTTGGTAAGTTTTTTTTCAAAGTGTTTACTGACTGCTTTATGTATTACATTCTTTATTTTATTCCATTTATCTCCATTGGTATCACTTGGAAATAATATTAATTTTTCATTGATGTAGGATGTGTAGGCTATATTTATGTTATTATATTTTAGCATTCTTAAATCATATTTTCTTAATTTTTTTTTTTTTTTTTTTTGTTATTCTTGTTTGTTTCTTATATACTCCATTACATTTCATCATGAGGAGATTATGGACGCTATTCACATCAGCGCCTGGTTATGTTTTGCATTGTTAATTATATATAGTATAAAATATACTCTATTGAGGAGAATTATTTCAAGAATTTTTGAAAAGGAAGGTTAAAAACTAATCCCTTGGTATGAGAAGTTGGAGTCAAGTGGCTAACTTGACTTAATTTATTATATTGGTTTATATGACTAGTTAGTCATATAAACCAATATAATGGAATGTTTTCAAGTGTTTATATGTGTATATACATGTTATATGGCTACAAAAATACATTTTTGAATCTCTTTGTGTAATTGGATTTAAAATTAAATTTTTTTTACTGTAATATGTAAATCATTAATAATTTTTAAATTTTATTGAATATATATTTTGTTTTAATAGATAATTTTACCTTCGATTACACCTAATAAAAATGGAATATATATAGCAACTACTGAAAAAAACAAAAACATTTATTTAAATGACAAAAAAGTGATTTCATTACAAAGTTGTTCATTTAAAAGAGTGGAACATTTTCAAGCATTAAAAATAGTTGCTGTTGAAATTAATGGGGAATGGTAATTTAATTTATCTATCTTAATCTGTTCAAAAATAAATCGTTATTTATTGTAATTTCCTTTATTAACTTTTAAATCAACCATTAATTGATGATCTATTTTACCTTTTGAAAATATAAACCATATTTTTTTTTAGGTTCAGAGGAAAATTAATTAGTTACAATGAATTTCAATCTGATGATACCAGAATTGAATTGATTGATGTTGGTTCTTTTTATCAAACTAAACTACAAAATATGTATGATCTCCCTTATTATCTCATATATGATCCATTAGTATGTAACATTTTTTTAAATAAATTCTTTAATAATTTTATTTTATGTAATATTATTAACTGTTTTCAAGGTTTTACCGATAAAATTTAAGAATTTTATCCCCTCTACTAATAAAATGACTGTAACACCTCTTTTATCTGAAAGTGTAAGTAAAGTTTTACCTTATAATTTTTATGATTAAAACAGAATTGTATACAAAAAAAAAAAATTTTGGGGGTGGTTTAGGTTGTACATTTATTACTACATTCATACTTATATAATTTATAAACCACTTTTATTCTATTAAAATATAATAATTTTCTTGTATTTCGAGGAGGTTTGACCTCCTTCTTCCCTCCCTTCTGGACCTAGCCTGAATTAAGATATTTATAATTATATGTATTTAACTAATATATATCCATAGATGCTGCATGAAGGTGTTGTTCTTGTTGATGTAGATAAGACCCAGAATAAAAAATTTAATTTGGATAATGAAATAAAGTAAGTTAAGGATTTTAACTTTCATTAATTTCTTAATTCAACACTTAACCGGTTATAATAAAATAATTTTAAAATTGTCATTGAGTCTTATAATTCCTTATGTTAATGTATTGGTGGAAAAATATTTTTTCTTGAGTTTCATTATTTAAATTATTTAATTTTTTCTATGCTCATTGTATTGAGTAATACATTTTTGTACCACTTGGTAATAATGTATGATTCCATTAATTATACTCAATATTTTAGTGAAAATTGAAATATTAGCAATACTCTTTTCTTTTTGTGATAGCTACTTTATTTTTAAAAATATATAATAGACCACCAATATTGAAGTAATTTTTGTTTAAATATACATGACTTAAGAAATATTAAATTCCTTAACAATATTTAAATTTATGTTTCAATTAAATATGTTTTTAATTTAATTCAGATCCAATTTTACCAATGGTTTAAGTATTACTAATGATAAAAAGTTGACTAATGGTTTCAGTATTACTAATGATAAAAATTTGACAAATGGTTTAAGTAATACTTGTGATGTAAATTTTTCTGTTCTTCACGATAATGATGTATCAAAGTAAATATGGATATTCTTTATTTTTTAAAGACAACTTATTAATTGTTAATTTTGATCATATTTATTTTCAGTGGATATTTATCAAAAAGTTTGAGAAGAGGTAGCTTTTACGATCAGCCAAAGCTGCAAAATGTACCATTAAAAAATAAGGATTATTGTATTATTACCTATTTTGAAAACTTTAATAAAATATTTGTTGGTAAAGCTATGAAAAATGAAAACAATCTGTATAATTTTTGCGAATTTAATATATTAAATTTTACAACTAATAGTCAAGGTAAATTTTAATATTTATTTTTTATTTCATTAAAATATAGGTTGAACCAAAATTAATTATAAATAATGGATAAATAATAAATTAATAATAATTACAAACAATCAATAAATTTTAAATTCTATTAAATAAAAAAAACTTTGTTATTATGGAATACCATGAAACTATATAAATCCTAATAGGTTATAACCAAAAATTAATCTAAACAATGATTGTTTCTTATTAGTGAACTTTGTCAATCTGAATAAAATATTATTTGTATTATTTATGGTGCAAATAGATGAGTTGACAATAATTTAAAATTTAAAATATAAATTTGACCCAAAAACTTTAAAATTTCAATACTTAACCAGTAAAATTATGTAGTTATCAATTTAATAAGTCACTTATGGAAATCAAGATGAAACTAAAAATAGAAGTTCTTTTTTTATATGATTACAAAACTAATTTAGAAGGAAAAGGAAGATCACTTTGTTCTCCCTTGTATTTAGTTACAGATTCTAAACTCATTGTAAAATATCTCAAATGTAGACTAACTGCCTTCCATTTAAATGTCCAGTTGGAGACTGTCATAAGAAAAACCAAAATGTAGTAAAATAACATGAAAAATAGAAACCGTGCTACTAGTTTTATACAAGCTAAAATTTTATATTTTTTTATATATATTTTACATATTTTATGTAATGTATTATTTACTAATGATTGAACTTCACACTTACAATTAAAGCAAAACATTTTAATATTGTGGCTTATTATAATAAACAGATAAATAATTAGCCTTAATAGATTTATAACCCAACATTATAATTAGAAAATAATGATTTAATTTCTAAGTATTATTTATAATACCTTTATTCATAAATTCATGAAGGTTAGTATAGAATTTAATATCACTTGAATCTAAAAATACTGAACCAAAAATTTTTATTAAAATGATAATGAATTATTTTATATATTAAATTAATTATGACTTTTGACTTAATGCCACATAAACAAATACAATTTTGTAAAACTATTAAAATAATTTAAATAATAATACTTAATCTAATTTTATAAACTATGATTTTATTGTATTTTTAATATTACAAGTAATTAAAATTGGTTATTTTTAATATTTATTATTTCTAAACATACAATATTTATTTTATATTTAGATAAAATACCCAAGTTAAATCCTGTTGTGGGTGATACTGTTAAAGTATTTTCAACAGAATACAAAAAATTCTTCAGAGGTAAAATTTTAAAAAATAATAACGATGGAAGTTATAACATTTACTACATTGATTATGGAAATGAAGAAAAAATCCCATCTAATGCAATCTTTGAATTAGCTGATGAATTAAAAAAGGTTTTTAATTTTAATTTTATTATATTTTATTAATTGTTAATTTTTGATCGAGTTCAATTGTATATACACATCAAATTAATTTAATGTGGTTATATTATAATCTGGTGAAAATAGTGTAAATAATAGATTATCATTTTCTGGTGCATGTTGTAAGCAATTATTTTTGTTTAACCACTTATTTAATATAAACGACCAATAGTTCAGAATGAAATATACTTCTGTGATATTTAGATAAATTATTGTAAAATCTGAGAATATTGAAATTATATATATATATATATATATATATATATATATATATATATATATTTTCAATGAGCATGTGATTTCTGTCAAATCATTTTTCCATTTATTTTGTAGGCATTGATGTAGCGAGGAGGGTGTAATGCCCCGCATACACAGAATACATAGAATAACTAAAATAATTTTTTTTTCTTATATGAAATATTTATTATATTTTATTACTATGTTGTTTTACAGCATATCATTATTCATTTTTTCTTCGTTCAAAAATTGGAATATTTTTCGATCAATTTCTCCTTTATTTATAAATTTGATATGGAGTAAAACTTAATATTTACCAACAGATTAAAGTTTCTTTATTTTTCATCAAAATGTATGATGTTTGTTATTTTTAAGTCTTATAGTTATTGTAATGGTTTTTGTCTAAATTTTTTTAATTATTTTATTGGTTATTCATATTTATTAGTTAATATTTAATTAATAATAATGTGTATTATTTATTTAATTTTAGCCACCAATAGCTGTTAAAGTAGGAATTGATGATTTAAAACATATACAAGAGACTGATGAAATTAGGAACCTGTTTAATGACTTTGCTAAAGATCAAATACCATTTATTATTGTAAGTTATATGTGTACATATTAAAATTGAGTTTTTAATTTCTGACAATAATGTTTTTTTTTTTTTTTCTTTTTGTCAATGTGTTCAATATATTATTAATTATTTTTAAATCTTACTCAGAAAATGATAAATAATATATCATTTATAATGCCTAGTAACTAGTTATTTTATAAAATTACTAAAATCCTATGGTAATGTACCACATTTTATCAGTAGATGTTTTTTTAAGTGCTGCACATTAAATAGGCAATCTAATACTATATTTGTGTTATATTTTGTATAATATAACATCATGGATAATGATGTTTGATAATTTACATCCTTATTCATACTATGCAATTTCTACAATTTTTAATAATTACTTATAAATTATTGACTAAATTGTGTACTAATTAAATTTGTAATGTAATAATTATATACTTTTATTAATTTTTAATTTTGAAAATATTTTTTTATATTTACAAACTCTTTGATATCAATATTTTTTTTAAGTATGAATGTCCATTTTTATAGGAATTTGACGAAACATCTAAAACATGTTTAGAGAATGTTAAATTAAAAGCTGTTGAAAGTGATCTCTATATTGACAGTTATGTAAAGAAGTGTCTGCTAACAAAATTAAGTAATATCACTGAAATTGTATTCCTTTTTTAATTTAATTTCTTGAGAAAAATCTATTAACATTAGTTTTTTATTATATTTAGACAATAAAGTTAAGAAACAAACTAATCAAAATAATTTATTGAGTAATAATTATAATATAAACAAACTTAAAAATCATGATAAAGTTTTTATAAAACATTTTGAAGATATGGGTCATGTTTATATTATCAAGGATGCAAAATTATTTAATGAAATGATGTGTAAAATTATTCAAGATAGATGTAAGTCTTATTATGAAATAATTTTCAACATAAGACAATTAAATAAAATATACCGAATCTTTTTTTTTTTTTCAGCAGCCATTAAATATCATTTTAAAGTGGGAGATATAGTTAAAGTAAATACGAAAAATTCTGATTATCGTGCAAAAATTAAAAAAATTGATGATAATTTGATCACTGTCATGACTATTGACATTGGGTGTTGTAAAGAAGTGCCATCTAATTGTATTTATGAATTATCTGAAGAACTTGCAAAGGTTTGATGTTAAAATGTATTACGTTTCTATATGATATTGTAAAATATGTAATATGTGGTGTAATAAATCCACATGTGTTTATTTTTTACGATGTTTGTGTTTATTTCTACTGACATCTGTAGTAGATAGGTTAGAAGAGATTCTAATATTATAAATAATAATGACCGTTAGAACTCATTAAATGTTGAATTGTGTCTTTCAAATTCACAGAGGTGATTAAAAATGTATGTCGTATCACTGACCTTTACATTTGTCTCACTAAGTCTCAAGTCATGCAATGTCCAAATTCTTGTATAATAAATATGAGTAGAGCTCATTTTAGAAATTAGATGAATTCTAACTTAATAACTTTGCTTCTTTTTGTCCTGCACTGTTATAATGCTAGAAGCTTCTATGATCCTTTATTCTATTTATTTTAAATCTTATAACTAATAACTAAGTGAAAATACAAACTATTATTTTAAGCGTTATTCAATCTTTTCAATTATTTATATACATCTCCATATGTAACATTGTTATTAATACTTATATATAAGTTGTGCCATTATTAAATATAGTGGTAATTGGTAATAGTTAGGCCGGTGACACTGAGGAAATTTGTTTTGTGAAATTTGTTTTATACAATTCATCACACAAATTATATTTCATGATCAATACACACAGAATAAATAAATTTCATAAATATTTTGTCACCGAAATGTGTTGCTTCATTTAAATACATGTGTTTTTAATAAATGAAATCTGTTTTCTGTTTCACAAAAAAAATTTCTTCAGTGTGTCATCGGCCTTAGTGTTTTTTCACATAATTATCTAAGTCACATACAAGTTAAATTTTTCAAAATTTTTCTCAAACATCTTTCTAATATTATATAATGACTGTGATTAATATTTCCTAACAAGATATCATGTTAATAACTAATTATTGGTTACACACAAGTTTATCAAATATTAATTTAATTCAATAACATACAAATTTTTTTAAAAAATTGAAATATATTTTGTCATTTAGTAATTTTTGTTGACTATTTATTTATTACATTTGCTACATTTAAAAATAAAGCTAAATAATGTATTCATTTTTGATAAATGAAAGATCAATCTAGTTATACAGTACCAATTATAAATTAGTGGTGATGATAAAAGAAATCTGTCACTTTGATTTAAAGTACCTAAATTTAAATCACATGTATGGCTACTATGTATGAATAAAATATTTTTATGTTTTGTTTTATTAAGTAGTTAATCTTTCTTTCTTTTTGGAAGAGTTTTAACTATGTAGTTTGATATTTTCTTTGTTTTTGGATAAACAAATTAAATCATTATTTTTAGTATCATGTAATCTATTGTTTTTTTAGATTCCTGGTTTGGCAATTGAAGTTGGAATTAAAAGACCTATTGTAAAAAGATCATCGACATTAGATGAGTATATAAATCAAATTGAAAAAATTCCATTATTTGTAGTAAGTTAAAGTTTTACGTTTAATTGTTCTATATACTCAAGTTTTTTAATAATTTTTATAAGATATTAAATTGGCAACTCATCAGAACTTTTTCAAAATATTTTAATAGAAATATAACTAAAAGTTTTAAATACCATTAAAAACATTAATTTAATGTTCTATATCAGTGGTTCTTAACCTGTGGTCCACAATACTCATATCGTGGGTCCGCGGCAGCCCTAAAACAATACATGTACATCAATACATGACATGAGTGCATTATTATAATATTGTTGCATTAATAATATTATTTTTTTTTTAATATTTTTTATTATATAATAGATAAATTTTATCATTATACGATGTTATAAAACTTGTGTATCAACCATCGTATTAAGCTAATAAAAATTAAATTTTAAGAATATTAAAAAAAGAAATTAAAACTAAAATAATTAAATTTAAGTTAACTGAAAAATTAAGTGAAATAAGAATAATTATAAATATGTATGTTATGTCTATTAATGTAATTTATTACATAAAATAATTATTATAATTTTGGTTTTAATAACATGAGATGTTTTGTATAAAAAAAAGTATTAAACAAAAAATTAGTAAGGGGGTCCGCAATTTCTATAAATCTTTCGTCAGGGATCCGTGAACTACAAAAGGTTAAGAATTGTTGTTTTATATGATCAAAAACTATTTAGGTAAATTAAATTTATAAAAAATAATATATACTTGGAGGTTAAATTTAACAAACTTTATTTCAAGTATACTTTTATTTACCGTAAATTAGTATATTTATTTTCTTAAATTATGTTTTTTTTTTTTTTTTTTAGGAATTTGATGAGAACAATTCTAATGGATATCAAGATATCATTTTAAAAAGAGAAGATAATTCAGAAAATATTTTTGAAGAATTCCTAAAATCAATAAAAAATGAATTAGTTTTGAATGGTAAATACATTTTTAAATTTTTGAATAATTTTTTTTTAAGTCAAGCCTACGATTGAAGGTTGATAGTTATTTAACTATTAATTATCTTTGTGTATATAATAATACTTATTACTATTTGTTTAGAATACACACTATGTAATTATTATTATTATTTTGTTTTATGAATTGTTTGTTGGCTTTTTCATCTTGCTTTAATGCTCAACGGAAAAATGTAAAAAATTTGTTTTCAAAACAGCTATTAATTTTGTTAATTTTTTTATATTAGAAATATCCAATGATAGTGATAATAATTCAATTATTAATATGGAAAGAAAGAGTGTAACAAATGATTTTCAAATTATTAAATTAGAAAATGGAGATCGTTGTATAGTTTCTTATTTCAAAGATTTTAAAAATATTTATCTTTGTGGAGCTGTAAAAGACAATGAAAAGAATTCTTATAAAGTGCATAATTATGATATTATTACAAAAACTTTGGAGAGTACAGGTCAGTAATTGTATATATTCTGATAATAGGCTTATAATTAATAATAATAATAATAATAATAATATATATATATATTATAAATATTAAAATAATAATATTAGTAATAATAAATTATTTAAATACTAAATGGTATTATTATGTATGATCATTTTTTGAATGAATATGAGTAAAAATAAGCTAGTCAAATTGTATAATTTTTGTTTTATTTGAAATTAAAACTTTTCTACCTTGCTAGTTTATTTTTAGTATTTTCTAAATTACTTTGAAATTAAATACTTTTATTTATTTTTAACTAATTTTTGGTTTATCATTTAGATTGTAAAATTAAAACAAATTTGGCCATAGGAGATGTGGTAAAAGCTTTTTCGTCTTCATTTGATGGTCTATATAGAGCAAAAATTTTAAATATTGAGAACAATATTGGTGTCCATGTTTGGTTTATTGATTTTGGAAATACAGAAATAATACCATCAAATTATATATTTGAACTTTCTGATGAATTAAATATTAAGGTATAAATATTATTAAGGTATTAATAAAATAGTTATTGTACATTTTTAAGTACATACATTTGTATTATTACAGACTGAGCTGCCTGTTTCAGTATCAATTGAAGTTCCTCCAAATGCAAGTATAAATGATGACATAACCGATTTATTTAAAAACTTGGTGTACAGTTGTGAAGTTCTATCTATTGTTAGTATTATTTTATTATATATGTAATTATTTTATTATTTAGTGTTTATATAAATATATTTACATATTTTAGGTATACAATGAAAAAAATATTAATAACTTGGAAAATGTGCTCCTAAAAGAATTAAAGTCTGATTGTTATATAAATGATAAAGTATTAAAATTATTACCAGCTGAAGAAATGTCAATAAAAAATCATGAACATTGTATTTTAACACATTTTGAAAATTTTGACTGTTTGTATGTTTCTTCCAAAGCTCTAGAAGAAGAAAATGCTTCATTTTTAAAAACCCTAATGGAAAGTAAAGGTTAGTGTAATGTATTATATATTATTAATATATAACTTATTTATTAACATATATTAGCTTAAACTTATTGACCGATTGTGATGAAATTAAAATTTAGGTATATACAGGTATAGTAATGTAGGTATAGTGCAATAATTAACGCTTAAAACCAGAATTGAACTCAGCTCACTACGTACATATGTAGGTATCGTGTTTGTATAGCAGCCACGGCAAATCCAAATTCTTGTGGTGGGAGGTCATGGAAGTCATTGTTATGTGGTTATTATTGACTGTGGGTTTTACTGAATAGTACCATTTTTTTTTTCTGGTGGCTCTTGGTGTATTTATTGAATCTAAAAATATGAACTGTAAGGACTTAAATATCAGCTGTTTATAAGAATAAATAATTCTTTTATAAGAATTATATACATATAATGGTTTAAAAATTTAAATTTTATTATAAAATTAATTTAATCAAATTTCAAAAGTTATATTTATATTTTTTGTTGTTAGAGTTGGTATAATAACATGATTACAAAATTAAAAAGAATTTATATTAACATAACATTGTTAACTATTTTTAGGTTTATACACCTTTTCTCTTTCATTCAGGATCATTTTTCAAAATAAATGGTTTTTAATTTCAAATGTATAAGAACAATTCACATATATCAATCACCTGCACCCTGTAACTTGACATGTCCTCCTTTTTTATTATGTCTAATATACTATTAAAAATGTATATTACATAAAAGTTTCACCAAATTCTATCTAAATTATTATTTATATTCAAATATTTTAATAATTGCATCCTGAAGTCTCATTTAATTTTCCTTGTGCTTAATTGTTTTAGATCTATCAGTATATTATTAGCTCTTAGTGTATTTTTTTTTTATATTTCTATAATTCTCATATCTTGTCTTTTATATTTTATATAGTTTATCTTCAGAGATATTCATAACGGTTACTAATAAAATTGAATTCAAATAGAATTGAAAAATAAAATTATATGTAAAGTTATAAATATTTTTGTATAGTTAATTTAAAATATTGATTATTTTCACTTGCGTGTATAATTTATTGTAGCATGAACATTTAGAAGATAGCAGTTATCATTAATTTTAATATATTTTTATTGGTTTATTTTATAGATCGTAATAATAAAATAAATCCAGTTGTAGGAGATATTGTTAAAGTTTTTTCTCCCTTTTATCAAGATATCTTTAGAGCTAAAATTGTTGATGTTAAAGGTAATAATTATCAAGTTTTTTATATTGATTTCGGAAATTATGAACAAGTTCAATCAAGAAATATATTTGAACTTACTGATCATTTTAAAATGAAAGTAATTTATAATAGTAAAATTATAATCTTATGATTTACTTAAATGTTTAATTATAATAATTTCAGGCTGGATTTGCAGTTAAAATTGGGATTAATATGCCATGTAATGTAAAAATAAATAAAGAAATATCAAATTATTTTTCAGTGTTAGCCAGCAACGCTGAAAAATTATCTATTGTAAATTAAATCATTTTGTATTTAAATCTTATAATGATTAATTTGTATATTAAATTTGTTAATGGTTTTATAGGAGTATGATGAAACTAGTGAAATGGGAATAAAAAATTGTATTTTGAAAGTCTTATCAACTGGTCTTAATGTAAATGATGAAGTATTAAAATTGTTTACCGATCAGTCTTCTGTATCTTTAGAAAAAGGTTATTAATGTTTCTTATTGTTATTTAATTATTTTTTATCATTATTTTTTGATATTTTGTTTTAACTAGTCATTATCATTACATTTGTATTTTACATATATACATATTATATATATATATATATATATATATATATATACATACATACATACATATTTTATATTATATTACATTTACATTTTTGGGAAGAAAAAGAGAAAAAAACACAGTTTAATTGAATTAAATAATAATTTAAAAAAAAATTTAAAAATTTAATTGAAAAGACAGAAATGGAAATTACTAGTGGAAAACATGGACATGACCTGAAACAGCAAAAATGCTTGGAATACCTTAGAACAGTTAAACAGTGATACAAGCCATTAGACAACGCAGTAATGTAACAGCAAATCAAGTCGCACATGTCCTTCTCACAAATGGTAAACCAAAAAATAAAACAAAAAAAAATACAAACGCCCTGGTGCAAAGAAAATGAAAGATCACTTATTGAGCAGATTTTAGCAAAGAAGACTAATACATGCAATAAAACGAATCTAGGTCAAAATATCCAACGGTCAAAATATCCACGGATAATATATCTAAATTTATCCGATTTTCCGAAAATTAGTACATTACACTATACATTCTAATACAACTAGCTCAAATATCAAACTATTTAATCATAAAAAAAACCTAAATTTTCTGAAAATATTAACTTAAATATTAAATTATAAAAATTAGCTCATAAAATGAATTCAATTATATACGCTGTAAATTACTAAAAGTATAATAAATAACGTTAATCGTTATAATATCACAAAATACAGGATGATTTTTTTATTATGAACCAGTTAATATTTCGGGAAGTATTAGGAATTTTAAAATAACTTTTTTTTAAACTTTCTAGGTTTTACTATTTTACATTGTGTTACAATTTTGATAATTTTAACTTCCGTCCTTATGTGATAAAACATTATCAACTTTCAATTTTCAAATGGCAATACCTATTTTCGATAGCGAAAATTTATAAACATACTGAAAAAAATAATTTTAATGTTTACAAAATTTAATTTCAGTTGTCCGTATGCGACTTATTACCGTTTAAATATTCGTTCAATTTACTGCTACTGGGCAATTTATCAAACCCAACAGTAAAAACCAGAAGTCAAAATGGAATGATATCTCAATTTAACAATACTCATAACGGTCATAATCGATAATAACTGTGATATTATTGCTACTAACAAGTCAATTAAATAATTTGATACTAATTTTTGGAAAAACGGATAAATTTGGATATTTTGTCCTTGGATGTTTTGGTTTGGATATTTTTTCCGAGGATACTTTGACCGATTACCCAATAAAACAGATGAAAGAAGATAAAGCACCCAGGATATTTGAAATACAAACAGAAATAATAAAACGCTTTGGAAAAAACACACAGGAATGAATACTAAAGTTTTTTAATGAGTGCCGTAAAACAGCAAGAATTCCAAAACAATGGCAAAAGGCAAAAGTGGCATTACTGATAGCGGTAATGGTCCAATATGCGACCTACACCCTGAGGTGCGGTCCAATATGCGACCTACACACTGATTTACAGTCCAATACACGACCTACGTCATAAATGTAAAAAACAAATAATTTTAACTAACCTTTTTTCATTCCACTTCTCAGTGTCGTCAATAAATGTATTGTTTTAGTCCATACTGTTGTGAAATGTCTTTTTCATATCGACCATAAAGTTATCAAAAATAGTTTTTTGATTTTGATACTTTCTTTACCACTCTTCTTGGAGTTGTTTATCTAGTAAAGGAAATGCCCCATTATTTTTAACATTATATTTGGATTTTGTAATACTCTATAAGCCTTCAATTTGTTAAGTGTGTGCTTCTGTTTCCGGGTAAATAAAAATTTTAAACGGTTAACTGTTAAATGAATATATCCATGATGATTTAATGTTGAGTACGCTCTCCATTGGTCACTATAAATTATTGTTTCAGTTTTTATTTAATTTTTAATAATTTGTAAAAGAGTTTTTTGGTCCCAAAATACATAAATAATATTCCCATGAATATAATTAAATGCCCATAATGACATTAACCGCGGTAACGAAATATGTTTATTAACACAATCTTATCGGTAGGTCGAGTAACATTTGTAGGTCGTATATTGGACCGTTACCCTGATAGAAAAACCTGGGAAATTGTCAAACTATCCGAAAAACTTTAGACCAATATCACTACTATGTTATATGTATTAGTTATATCAAAGATTAATTTTGAACAGAATAACCCCAGCCATAAAAAAAAAAAACCTATTTAAAAATCAAGCTGGGTTTCGATCAGAGAAATCCTGCAATAGCCAGATACTAAACCTAACACAGATCATCGAAGATGGTTTTGAAACAAAAAAATAACCGGAGCCGTATTTATAGATTTGACTGCAGCATATTACACTGCTGTTAATCATAACCTCTTATTGGATAAAGTATATTAAATAACTAGGACAAAGTATATAAAATAACTACCACCTGACAAAAGTAATTGAGTCAACGAACAGAATTAGAAGATTCCAGGTAAGATTACAAGATCAAAAAAGCCGATGGAGAAATTTAAAAAATGGCCTCCCGCAAGGTAGTGTCCTTCCACCAATACTTTTTAATGTATACACGAATGACCAGCCCATTTTGGAAAACACTCGTTATTTCCTATACGCCGACGAATTAGCGATAACCGCTTAAAGAAATACATTTAGTGAAGTCAAACAAACACATGTATTGATGAAATTGGATAGCTACTATACAGAATACTCATTAAAACCTAACTCTACCAAAACGCAAATAAGTGCAGGCCACCTTAACAATAAACAGGCAAAAAAGGAACTCAAAATACAGTGGCGGGGCATCAATCTTGAACACACACAAACCCCCACGTATCTAGAAATCATATTAGATTAACCTTCAAAAGTAACAGTGAAAAATCAAAATGAAAGTCGCAACACGAAACAACCTAATAAGAAAACTAACCAGGACAACATCGCACTCGCCTTATGCTACTCTGCTCTATTATAGACTTATTCCAATATAATGCCTTATGTTGAGTTCCTCTTAATTTTTTGTATCTTGCATTCCTCAAAGATGTGCTTGATTGTGAACATCGTCCCACATGATAAGCATATTAATGGGTCACCTTTTATTATTAAATAACCATACATCAGTCTTGTTTAACCAATTTTCATTCGATTTAGTTTTTTTTTTTTTCATTTGTGGTACTGATATTTGGGTTTAATTTCCATATTTTTACTGCTTGTTTAATTTTTAATTAATTTTATCGTGTATTATTAAGTAAGAAAATTTAATTATGCGTATTTTTATTTTAATTAAAAGGATTTTGAGATACCTGTAATAAAATATTTCTCATAAATATTTAATATTCACTTATCTTAATATTTAGAGAAGTTGTCAGCAACCAGCGATCTATAGGCCACATTTGACCCATACGTTTATTTTATATGGCCTGCATTAAATTCCAAAACAAGAAAATTGAATTGAATATTATATTATTTTTTTGTACTGTTTGGTCTCTAAATCGTTTTTACTTTGTGAATATAGTCCTAGAATCCAAATTATATATAGAAGTATCAGTTTAAATCATATTTGAAAATATCATTTTCAGTTTCGTTATTTGAATATTAACAAAAAATAATTTGCATTCAGAATCCGTGTGTCTTTAACAGTATTTTTTATTACATTTGTTTTTATTTATAGTCGAAAATTTGAAAATGAAAATTGAAGATCCAACAAAAGTACTAGAAGTTACGAATAATATCAATTCCCATCCACTTAAAAATGGAGAAACAGTCTATCTTCGGTATTTTCATGATTCAACTTCTATTTTTGTTAGTCGTGAATCTGAAGAATATGACTCTGCAGTTGAAAAAACTGCTTATGATACCTGTAAGTTACATTATTAGTTTAATTTATTTTTATTTTTTTAATTAGCTACCAGTATAACTATTTAGCTTTAAAATTACAATTTAATTAAAATTCGAATGAACATATTATTGTATGAAAAATAATAATAAATTCTAGTATGTTGATATTATATTTAATGATAATAATAATATTGAAAACTAAAATATAACTCGTAGAATAATACTAATATTACTCTAACATATAACCTGAGATAAATAATAAAAGTTATGATATGACAAGAATTTATGTTCGTAATTTTGGATTCAGTGAAGTGTAGACATAGGAAATTAAGAAGATATGGTATTTTTTGAAAGCAATGTGTTCAAGATTGTTGATAAAAAGGAAATTAATGGGTTAATAATAGAGTTGTTGCGTAACAAACTGAGATAAAATATTTGAAATAAGTTCGGTGAGAAATGTTTGACATTTTTTTTTTTAAAAGGACAGCTTTTATAATTTTTAGTATGTACATCAGAACAATGCACACTTCACAGGCAGTTCCGATAATTTGATGCAGTCCTTGATGAGATTTTCGTTGCTGCATTTTATACATCTTGACGGTGGACTATAGCAGGAGCATGTGTGGCCTTATCGCTGACATTGTTTGGATTGTGTTGGAAAACGTGTATGATTCGGTTTTTCGACCACTATTTTAAAACTTAGAAGGGAGAATATTAGTGGTAGAGCTTTTTTATTTACTCTATGAAAGATGTTTAACACACTTATAACGAACTAGCCCAAATCCCGGAGGGCTGAAGTCCCTTCTCCCCCTTAGACATTAGGTAGAACTATATCGGATACGAGTTCTTAAAATATTTCAAAAAATTAGTTGTAAGAAAGACTGTATAAATCAATATGCGCAAAGAATTATGGCAGTAAATCACATTACTAGCCCTCCTCCTTTTTTCATTTCTAGACCCGCGCTTGTCCTTGGTTTGTACCCACCAGAGAAATTAATTGAGTTTTCAACGCGGAGTAGTTAGTAATATTACTAAGGGTATTGGAACTAATATTTTGTTTTTTTAACCTCATTTTTTTTCATCACCAAAGTGTTTTGATAATGGGTTCAGGTCGTGCTGTAGGTGTGACTGACAGGAGGAGGACTGAAAACCTCGGGGAGATTATCGTTCACGGAGTGGGAAGAAAAACAATTTGGCGACACAAAGGTCTTGCTTTTCTTTAAATTTACATCAAGTTTGGTCAAATAGGGGGGTGACAAATTCGGCTTAGATGAATCATGTGATTTGATGAGAGACATGACGAATGAACTTATATATCATTTTAACGTGGAACATAAATAATAATACTGATAGTAATTGTATGTACGGCGTGACAAGCTTAACGATGGATGGTATAAAACTGTTAATTTTAGTACAATTAATTTTAATTATTAAATAAAGTAGTTTAAATTTTAATAATTAAATAACAATAATTTTTTGAGTAACATGCTTCTGTATTCTATAAATATTCAAAAAATAACATTCTATAATAAGTTTTATTAAGGCATAATATATTTCAATCATCTTAAGTTTTAGGTAGTAATAACTTGAAAATTATAAAACTAGCATAATTTAAAAAAAATACAAATTAACAAATTAGAGTTGACTATTATTATTTTTCCTGTTTAACCCGCTCTAACCTGTTTAAAATTAAATTGAAATTATATTTATAATAAAAACCCTCTCAAAATTCAAAACAATTTTGTTACATTTTATTTAAAGAAAAAAAAATTTGGAAGAAATATAAATTCCATTTTGGAAACTGAAACTAGCATTATTTATTTTTTGTAGCAAAACAAAAAAAATCAAAAATTGAAATTGGAGACATTGTCAAAGTAATGTTTGATGGTGTGCTGTTTCGTGCAAAAATACTCAAAAAAGAGGATAAACATTTGTTTCGTATTTCATTTATTGACTATGGAAATGAAGAGATTGTTTTAGATGATGAAATTTTTGAACTTTCTGATGAATTAAAAAAGGTTATTTGCTACAAATGTTAAAGTATATATTTTTAAATTATTACAGCTACATAGAATATAATTTTATCATCCTTCTTTTTTAACATTTCAAAATGTTTACCGTTACATTGACCAGTTGATAGCTATTATCTTGCTATCAAGCTTGCAGTAGGACCATGGGAGTAAAGAGAATCTAACAACAATAATAAATATAATTTTATTATTCTAGCTGTTTATAGTTTATAAGTGTATTTGTAACATAGAATGATGTACTTTTTTCATAAGAATAAGATAATGTATATGAATTTTGTTTTGTTAAGATCCCTGTATCAATTTTTGAAATCGGTGTCAAAGGATCTCTAAAAATTGAAAAAACAGAGATTGTAGATAAATATTTTAAAAATTTAGAAAATGAACCTTTATATATTGTGAGTATTAGTGAAAATATAAATTAATTTATTGAAGGCATTTATTCTATAATTAATATTTACCATAAAAACAAATAAAATATTAGTATAATAAAAGTTTTTCAAAACAAAATTTTGGTTAGCATATTTAGCCTTATGGAATAAATGACTTTAATTTACAACATTATAAGAAATTAAAAATACTTAATTATCTTACCATTATATTAGATGGTAATTGATAAATTTTATTGTTTCTACTTCTTATTTTCATTTCGCTTTTTTAAATTTTTTTCTATTATATAATTTTAATTTATTTTCAAATAAATAACCTAAAAGTTGATTGTTATATACTTATTTAAGATTATAATTTTAGGAATTCGATGAAGAAAACCCAAATGGATTAAAAGAAGCTGATTTAAAAAGAAAAAATAATATAAGTATTTTTGATGAATTTATTGACAAACCATTAAATAATAAAGGTTATTAATGTCATTATTTTTATGTATTTAGTAAATATTTTATGAGCTATCAGTAACCGATTTATTTTTTCTGAAACAATTATTTTTTGGTGACAATGAACCTTTAGGAGATTGTAAGCCATGATTACTATCTATTACAGAAGCAACATAGGGATTTTAATGTTTTCTATTTCCAACATAACGATTGATTAATTTTTGCAATAAGAATTTTAAAATATGATTGGAATTTGTTAAGTCTCTTTTAGATTAGATGTCCTATTTTTTTATTTTTTTTTTTATTATATTTGCTTGAATTTTACAAAATAGGATTTTGACAAATTAAAAACATAAATTAACATAAGTTAATTTTTTGGTATGTTAAGTACAACATTTTAAAATTTAGGAAAGTTGATTTAAAGTAGACTTAATGAAAAATTTAAACTAGTTTTTAAAATTTGTATTGCATTAATTTATCAATCAGTAAGATGGATATATAAAATGTCTAAATCACTATTTTCTGCAAGTGATAGACAGAGACAGAAAATCATGGTTAACAATATTCTTAACCAGTTAGTAGAAGGGGAAAGGAAATGGCAGTTCTTTCTTTTGAGATGGTTTTCTCCCCTGCCTAAAATATATGTTTTCTTTGATTTAATAAAGTTTTTGAATTATAAGTCTACTGCAGTGGTTCCTAATTAGGGTGAAGTCACGGATCCCTAGTTATAACTTAAATTGGTCTGGGTACCCTTTTTTTTGTAAATACTTACTTTTCAATTTTGTCTAATTAAGAAAATGAAAAAATAACGTATGATTTATTTTAATTTAACAAACCTTTTTGTAATATTATACACACATTTTTTTTTAAATAAATATTTATTTGATTTAACACTTGATTTTACGTACAACTTAATTATAATTATCTTTTACAATTTATTTACGAGTTATTTAAAATAGTTATTGCATTGATGATTTTCAAACTTTATGAGACAAGTAAAACCTTTCTTTTTTGTTCATAATTTCATCCAAGATGCAGGCTTAATATTTTCACTCTTAAATCAGCGTCAGTAACAGTTGGTATAAAAAGCTATTTCACTTCTATATGTTGTGTAAAAGGGGATCAAATCTTTCTCAGCCAGTTGCTTTTCATCATTTTGAACAATTAATCAAAAAATTAATTAGTTTTTTATTATTGAAAATATTTTTCATCATTCTGTTATCCACCAAATCAATTTTTATTGTTCTTTTTAAAAGAGATTTTCTATTTTTTCAATATCACAGGAAAATGGATTTTTTTTTGTTTGGGTCAGGTTGATGATATTTATTTATACAAAATTGATTATCCATCTGTTTTGTGATAGCCGAGTTATTGTCCTAAAATACTAGGAATTTTAAACGATTACAAAGTTATACAACTGCACTAAATTAAATTTAAAATATTATTACAGTACTACCCAATCATGGACCTCCTAAAATCAACTCGTGGACCACCAGCTGTATATCTTAATATATTTATTAATTGCATTTATCTATGCATATTTTGAATTTACAGAAGAACCAGTACTAAAATCATGGAATGAGACTATGTTAATAAATTTACCTGAACCAGAATCTGTAACAAATATTGAATTAAAAAATGGTGACATTGTTTTTTGTTGTAATTTTGAAGATTTTAATCATATTTACCTGTGTAAAAGTTCTAAAAATACCATACCACAAAATAACAATTTTATTATTGATGCTTCAAAAATAAAAGGTAATTATAGCGAATAATAAAAATATTTAGTTTTAAAAGACTTATGATCTTATATTCATAGATATATTTGTTGATATTAAATTTATTTTAATCTTTTTAAAATCATAAGTTATTGATCATCAGAGCTAGGATTTGTATGTAACAGTATATTTTTTTTTTGCAACTTCTGATTGTTGATTTTGTCAGTAATGTCCATGAATCAGCTCATTATGAGATAAATGGTGATGTTTTTATTTTGTATGTTTTTGAATATATTGAATAAAATAAATATTATTGCATATTTCGATTATAAGAATGCGAAAAATTAATGTTTTATAGTATATTTCGTAATCATTATTTATAATTTAATGTTAATATTTCATATTTAATTCTAGCCCTGCTGTTTAATGTACAAATCTTGTTTTTTTTTAACAAACATAAATTTTATTTTAAATTATTTTATATTAAGACAAACAGCTAACCCCTGATGTATTTCAATAAATAAATATTTTTGTTTAGTTTTATTTAATTAAAATTTTAAATGCATATTTTACAATTTTTTATTGCATACAAATTTTAGCCCTAATGATCACTATGAACCACAGTCTTTGAAAAGTTTCACTTTCAAGCCAAAGAAGGACTGTTCGTGGCTTGGTTAAAATTGGATTACATGTTGACACTGTAGCTTTATTACACTCTATTTTTCTGTTGTATTATATTTACTATAGTTTTATTTTCCAAAATTAATGGTCTCATTTTTATGTGAATCTATCATTTGCACCATTTAAGATTTATTTTGAATTTCCTTAATTACTTTAATGTAATTTGTTTATTTAAATTAATTAAATTATTAAATTATTTTTTTTAATTGTTCATAATTTCATTGTTTATTATATAAGACATAACTATTAAGAAAAATCCCAAGCGTGGAGAAATTTTAAAAGTGAAGTATGAAGAGAAAATTTTTCGAGCAAAAGTACTTGATGCATTTGGAAAAATGTACACTGTATTTTTAATAGACATCGGAAAAAATATAAGTGTATCTGCTGATGAAGTATTTGAAATTTCTAATGAGTCAAAAAATGTATGTACACGTTTATTTTTTCTAATTTTTTTTAGATAATTATTAAATATAAATTCATAATTATTTATAGGTACCTGGTTTAGCACAAAAAGTTGGACTTAAAGGAGCAAAAGATTTAAAAATAACTAAAACAGTAAAAGATTATTTTCATAACTTATGGTTTAATGTGCCAGTTCCATTAATTTTGGTAAGTGATTTAACTTTTTATTTATATAAGTACTATAACATTTTAACTAAATTGAGCTACATTTAAATATATTGTGAGTTGTATACAATTACATTATTTTTAGTTTTTACATTTGTTAAGTATTTGTTATTTTAAAATAGTAGTTTAAGTTCTTCAAATTATATTCTAAATAATTTAAATCTCTTCATTTATTGATTTTATAATCATGTTTTCTTTTAATATTTAATATGTATAATAGGTTTTTATTTAGTTCTCACTAATTAAAAATATTTAATTTTATAATTCATTATTTTTATAAAAACAGATGTGTGATGAAGATAATTTTAATTGTTTTAATGAAGTAAATTTAAAAAGACTCAATAATGAACATGATATAATTGATGATTTATTAAACATTTGTAATACATTATCTAATGACAATATTAATCAACTCAAACCTATTGTACAGAATTCAAAAAGTAACGGTAAGATAAAACAATATAATGGTTTGTTTTTATGCATGTTAAATCCTGTACAAATTCCATGATATCACTCCACTCATAATCACCTAGATTATTAACTGTTACTAATAAATAAAATAAATTATAGTTAACTACTGTTTTTCTATTTTTGATTGATTTACTCACAATGTGTAAGATAAGTATTTTATTATACCTAACAAAAAGTTCAATTTTCTTTTTTGAAACTGTAATCATTTCTAGTATTTTTGTAAAATATAAATATACTAAAGTTTATTGCTTCTTATAAATATGCACCTTAAGTGATTATTAAGGCTTGGAAGTTGTAGAAGCTTAAAAAAAAAAAGGCAAAATATGCACGAAAAAATTGCAAAATATACATTGAAAATGGTAATATATATAAAAAAAAATTATTCTAAATTCCAAAAAAATACATCTTAAGTTAATAAATTAATCTGAAGTAAATTAATAATATACGCAAAAACTATTTATAACTGAAAAAAATGTATGACCATGTTGGCATTTTGACATTTTATTGAACTGAAAATATAATTAAAAATATTTTTTCAGTATTTTTAAAATTATGAAAAAAAATACTTGTTTTATAATACTTTTTAAAGCCATTGTAAATCCTTTTAATTTTTCATGAAACCAACCTTAGTCACTGACAAATTAAGATACTTCTAGCGATTCAATTTAAAAAATTAGATATTTGAATTGGTAAAAAAGTCTACTTTACATCAGTCGGAGTATATATTAAATAATTTTTGTAAATTTTTAGTAAGTAGTAAGACATTTAGTAGCGATTTAATGCATGGATCTCATGTCACAGTTGCATGTTTTGTTCTAAAGGACCTCTAAAACCAAAATCTAAAATTGAAAACTGTTTCATTAATATTGTTTTTGCTTTTTTTTTTTAAGTGACCTCCAATTGATATTTGAATCCTTGCTTCCTGAGTCTTAGGTTCATTTCTGAGTGGGAGTGATTTCTGATAAATACTTGATAACATTCTAGATTTAGCTATATTTAATTTAAATTTTTTTATGTTTTGGAGAATTGTAAATTAAATATAATCAGAGAAAAAAGGAGATTTTAAAATAACAAGCTCAATATTGCTAAAAAATATTTTTGATTACTAGAATTTTTACTGAATTTTAATTTTTGAAATTCTAATATACATCAGGTTTTATTTTAGGTTCAAGTGTTCATTGGCGCATTCCAAGTGGAGAACATGTTGAATTTTTATTTGGAAATAATGTTGAAAATATACATGTGAGACCTATTAAACTATATGAAGATTATAAAAATATTTTAAATGAATTTAAAAATGGAAAAAGTAAGATATATTGTTAAAATTTCTATTGAAAAGTAAATAAAGATAATATATGTGATGTATTTTTAAAGTAAGTGTGGCAGCTATAGGAATTTTTTCATAATTATTTTTTTCTAAAATCTGAATTAATTTAATTTTTTATTTCCTGTACAGTTTGAATTAATTATTCTGTTTAATTATGTTAAAATCAAAAAATAACAAATTTATCATAATTTTGTTCACCAATAAAATTAATAAATTACATAATTGATTCTAGGTTTTCAGAATCTAGTAATATACATTTTAATTTACTTCTTGTATGAAAAAAACAACTCACTGATGCATAACGTTTGTATGGGATTTTTACCTGTTTTAATCAAATAATTATGTTATTTAGTTTTTTTTATAAGTAAATTATTATTGGGATATAGTGATATATTTATTAAATAATATATTTTAATTTTTAACATCAGTTATTTATTTGTTTTTACATTTTTGAATTATGTTTCGATAACAATTATTAACTATGTTCATTGTGTATTTAATTTGGTTAAAATAATTACATTTAAAAAGCCATATTTTTATTTTATCTTTTTATATAATATACTTCAAAATTATTCTATTTATTAACAATTGACTAATATTTGTATTTTTAGATGATCATTTAAAAACAATATGCCCAAAAACTAATGAGAATGTTGCAGTATATTCAATGAAATATAATGGATTTTATAGAGCCAAAATTATTGGACCTTGTTCAGATGATACTTCTATGTTCAGATGTTCATTTAGTGATTATAGTTTTATTGATTCAATATCATTGAAACATATATTTGAATTGCCTATAAGTGAATCAGTAAATACAGTGAGTATATTAAAAAAACTAAGAATAAGTATATAATACAATTCAATAATAATTATAACTTAATTTATTTTGTATTTGATACTACTCAATCATCTCTTTGATTGACATAAATCAGAATTACTAATAAAATATAATAATAAAAAAAATTTTCTAGTTTTTTTGTTATATATTGTTCATAAATTCATAACATTTAAATTATGTACTGTATTTAAAAAATAATCTTATTGAAAACAAATTAGCCAAGCTATATGACAAAATATTCTAAAATTATTTTCATAACTATTTTAATTATTTACCCTGACTGAGCATCCATAGCTTATCAAAAAATCGTACTTCTAAAGGTCATCATATTATAGTTTTTTGTTGCTTAAAATATGTCTTTATGTAATACTATTATTTATACCAGGGTGATCCAAGTTGTGGGTTATATGCAGGTCTCAAATCCTTTTTTTGATCCAACTCCATAGAATACTTTATTTGAAATAATATTATAACAAAATTGATATATGATAATAATAATAATAAATTATTGTAAAGAGAACAATTTACAATGATAATATACCTTTTATGTTTTTTTACTCCAAAATGTTTGTTTACTATATTTTTGTTTTGGTGGCCCTTTTATTGTTTTTATGAAAGTGTTAATTGGTTCACCAATTAAAAAAGATTGAATCGTCTTGATTTATACTATCATGAAATTTTTGTTCAATACTGATCTAAAGATAGACTGTTTATTTAAAAACATTTAAATTTATTATATTGAATTGTTTAAGCAACAAATAATGATTATTTTATAAGTCATTATAAATACTAAACTATATAACTAAAAATGTAAACTTATACTGTAAAACACCTCTATATATTAGACAATTTTTATGTAAAATAAAAATGTTTACACTGTTGTGTGCTATATACCCATTTGAATAAATGCCAATTGTGGAAAGATTGTCTGTCAATATTAGAAAGTTTAAATTATTTTTAGGTACCAATATTGTGTCAAAGAGTTTCACTTGCTGGATTAACCAAGATTAATAATAATAATAGCAGAGTAATTTCTTATCTTGGACAATTAGTTGGGAACACATTAATTTTAGTATGTAATTTAAAATTTGTTAATAATTTTATTATTATGTTATTTTTCAATATTAAAAATAATTTATTTAGGAGTATGATAAAAAAGCTGAACGTTGGTATAAACAAGTTATATTAAAGGACTTAAAAAATCTATCTATAAATGAAGAAATACAAAAATTATGTCAGCCCATGTCTCAACAGCGACGATTAGAGAGAAAAATTGGTAAAAAATCTATTTTACCTTTATTTATAATTTAATTTAAACATTTATTTTTTATTTATTTGCATTAGTGATACCCGAAAAAAAAGAAAATGAATTAGTGAAACCAATTCATCCTATAAAAAGTGGTTCAACTGTTTATATAACTCATTTTGAAAATTTCAATTCAATTTTTATTCGTGATGCATCACATGAATTTATTGAAAGTTTCAATAAATTTAATAAACAAATGATTAAATATTATAAATCAGGTACTTATATATTATTTATGTCTGATTAAAAAAAATATTTAATATTTATATTTTGAATTATCAGCTTGTGTAAATCGCAGTTCTAACAAACTGTTAAATATTGGTGATAAAGTTTGTGTAATATCTACACTAAATCCAATTATGTATTGTCGGGCTCAAATCAAAGATAAAATCAATGATGAATTCAGAGTTTTTTGTATTGATTATGGGAATGAAGAGTTAGTTTGTGCTGAAGACATATTTGAATTGCCTAAAGAATTAGAAAAAGTATGTTTTATTTTTGTTTAAAAAATGTTTCAATTTATAGAATTTAAGGTTAGTAATAAATTAAAGTTAATAATTAATAATAAACCATTCAGAAGCAAGTAATTAATTAATTTAAATTCTAAAAAAGAAAGTTTATAATTTCATCATTAAGGTTATTTAGAACAAGTATAAAATAAAGATTGTTAAACATAAGAAAAAATATATAAATTTCCTCTTTGTTAAAAGTCTAAAAAATATCAAAATTTGTCCTTTTTTCCGCGTTGTATATAAAATTTAAAATTTTTTTTTTTTTTTTGTTTTTTATTTGAATTTAAACAATCTATACAAATTATGTACAATAAGCTTAAGTGTTAACAATTAGGGTTACAGCCAGAAAAACATGAAAGGAGAAGCCGCCCACTGGCGACACTCCAGGTCAGAGTCATAAGGTTAAATTATTGAAGTAGGTCGCGGCACCATTTTCTTTTCAATCTTTTGGGAGGGTTACCAGGCATTGGATTGGTTAGATTTTTAGCTAGGATGTTAGGATGGTTGAAAAGAGAGTTGTGGTAACGAGTGTATGATTTGGTAGCGGTTTCGAAAACAGTGTTCATTTTAAGGTCTGAGTGTAAGGTTTGGTTGGATACATAGAAAGGAGCCTTTGTTATTAAACGAAACAATTTATTTTGGGTTATTTGAATTTTGTTTATATGTGACTTTTTTGCAGAGCCCCATATTTGGATGCCGTACATCCATATGGGTTTAAGGAGAGTTTTGTATAAGTTTAGTTTAGTGTGAAGTGTAAGTTTTGATTTAGCGTTAAAAAAAAAATTAAGGGAACGAAGACGAGTGTTTAGTTTAATTTTGATGTTATTAGTATGATGGGCCCAGTTTAGTTTTTGGTCAAAATATATACCAAGGTATTTTGTGTTTGGAGAGGTTGGAATTGTGATGTTGTTAAAAGAAATTTGGGGGCAAATTTGATGTTTAAGGGTAAAAGTGATGTGGCAGGATTTGGTTTCGTTTATTTTGACTTTCCAATTTTGACACCAGGATTCCAAACGAGAGAGATGAGATTGAAGTTGCATAGAGGCAATGATAGGATTTTCGTGAGTTGAAAGGATAGCTTTATCATCGGCGTATTCAGCAACGAACGTGTAGGGAGAAGTGGGTTGATCGGCTATGAAGATGTTGAAAAGGATAGGAGCTGTAATTGCTCCTTGAGGAACTCCGGCTTCTATAGTGGATATAGATGAGAGACTAGAGCGGTAAAATTTAAAATAACTTTATTATATTAATAATTAAATAAATCAATTATCCATTTCCAATAAAATTTAGAAAGAAAAAAAGAATTCAATGGTTTTCAAAATAAAATTGTCTATCAGTACTGAGTGAATTTTTTTTCTCCCATTTTGGGTTTTTTGTAATAACACTGGAGTAACTGCAGTTGTACATATGTATATTTCCAAGAATCGCCATGAACTTATGGGAGTATACAGTATAAAAATAAATCATCTTCAGTACATTAATTATCCATCGTTACGACCACACCACACTCATCCAATACTCTCTGATGTATATAGAATATTGTCTATATCAAATTTAAAAATGATTTGCTTTCAATAGTAAAAATAGATACCGTTTAGAAATTTACCATTTTAATATAAAATGAAATTGATATTTATGTCCATTTAATTTATTTTATTATCAGTAAAAATATGTTTAGTTTGCTTTATTAGGGTAAATATGTTTGGTTTAATTTTGTATATCTCATTTTTAGCCTCCAAATTTTGTCATTAAAGTTCAAATACAGAATATATCTGAATTAAAAACAGAAAATGAAATTAAACTTGTTAAAGAATATTTGAAAAGAAAAATTATAACAACCAATAACCCAATTTGTATTGTAAGTAACCTAGATTATTTTTTATGATAAAATATAATAATTACTAGATTAAGTGTGAAATTAGGTAAATATTAATTATTATCTCTACCCAATGTATGTGTTGGTGAGAGAAATATATACTGTATTTTATTGTTTCCATTCCTAAATTTCGTGATAAATTGGTGATGACTGGGCTCTATTTTTTTGGTTAAAGCTCGTTGACAAATGCAGCAATAGCTGTTTCTTATATCAAGAAATAACACCTTTTTAGTTTTAAAACCTATGATAGGCTAGCCTTAACCTAACGTAGTTTTAAAACCAATGATAGTAGACTGAAAACATATGACAAAAAATAACAATAATACTACCTATAAATATAAAAATGCAATGTTACTGCTCCTGAAGACGCATTATATTTGGTCTTACAACTTCTTTTCGACCACTGGCCATCTGCAATAACAGTGCACATAGGATAGCCGTCTTGGTCCACATTACCACATTCTATCGCCAATCGCCGTTCTTCTATACCAGCTTTAATAATTTCCTCTAAAGCAGTATATGTAATTGACTGACTAACCGAAAACAAATTATTTAAAAACCCTATTGATAACAAAAATGGAATGTAAAAGTTGAGCTATATGCTCTACGGTGCTCAGTTACAAATCAAATTTCTATGCCGGATATTTTGAATCTGAAAAAATAAATGACTTATATTCACAATCCTACGTCCTTCGAGAGATCTGTAACATAGTTATTCTTCATTTGAATATCTAATTTCGTCCAAATTTGAATTTAGAATGTCTATAAAAAATTATTTTTTAATATATTTTCTTGATTTTTTGTATACAATATTGAATACTTGTGAAAAACCTTGTTTTAAATTTTCAATCCTTAACTGTGAAACTGACCATTATGTACATTTATAACTACAAAATAATTTGCAAAAATTTGAGATTTTGATGAAATTTGTAAAAAAAAAAAAAAGTTTTTAGTTTTTAAGTCACAGCAAAATAAAGAAATAGGTTTTGTCAAACAATGATTTTGTGTAAAAATATATAAAATAGATACCTACCCTAAAATTGTATCATCAGAACTAGAATTTTCATATTTAATACATAAGCTGTGTTCCATTACTTAAGCTTCATAAGACGGCATTTCAATAGTACTTGATGGCGTGCTAAATGAAATATTTTGATTTTTTGTCGACAGGCTTACATTTCAGTCGATATGGTATAGAATAAAGACATATCTGGAGTAGTTTCTATTTCACCTCGTTCTTTTTGATAAATTTACAAAAATATCTAAATAAATATTTGAATAATATACAAAATACAGTGGATATTGTGCCGCTTATAAGATTCACGGGTTTAAAATTCAGTCACTTATTAGAATCAAAGTAGTCTGGAACGGTACGGATTATCCAAATACATTATAAAAAATATAAAACTCAAATTTCGTAAAAAAAAAAAAATAGAAAATAAACATTTTTGGTTAAAATTTAAAAATAAATTGATTTTTAAAAATTACCTATTTTTGTTGATTATTACTGGTTTCCATTCATGCTTTTTAATGTGTGTATATACAATTTTTAAGACATTTCACATTTATGGCGATTATTGTTATTGTAGTGTGAGTTATAAAAACATTCTCGATTACTTGGCACAGCTATCTCAATAATTTTAATAAGATTCATTCAGTTATAAGTATAAGCGCAATTTGGAAGGGGGCTAAGATCCCCCAAAATGGATTATATACTTTTATAAATCTTTGAGAGCACAGACACAGTACATACATGCAAATTATATAGACCCCCAAATTTAAAAATAAAATTGCGCCTTTGGTTTAAGACTCACTTTGTGATGGTCCCAAAGCAGCGTCCACTCTAATAAAATTTAAAACTAATTATTAGTTGCAAGTAGCAGGTACTTACAGTGTACTTTTACTTTTACTAATACCTTTCTAAACATTCATCATCTGTTTTTGGATAGCTCTTTTACCTGATCGAACTCGTTTATTAAAGATCAATCTGGACTTTTTCGGTGACATTTTATTGAAATTAACACAACCCCATAAAAAAAATTGGTGACAAAACTACAAAAGTGTATAATATATTTCTTAAAATAATAATAAGAACATAGGATGCTTGTATACCATCTATATCATTTAACATTGAATTATTAGTGACTATTATAGTGCCGTGTATTAGTATTAGTATTAGTACAACTATAATAATATTATTGTCAGCAATTTTGATAATCGATAACATCTAAAGCGATAAGCCCATATTTTCCAAGTATAGTCGTAATTGTGAATGTCTAAAAAAAATATCATAGAAATAGAGAATGGGGAGTAATCGTCAATAATAATGCCGTTTGCCACCAAAGTTGAGAGAATAAAAATAATTATAAAAATTAATTTTGAGTGTTACTATACAAACTGCTTTGCGCGGGACAGCTCTACGAGGCCAATATTTATAGTAGATTTACCAAGTTTTAAGAATAAATAAAAGAGAACTTTATCTGTGTCGTAGCATTTATATTTTTGTGGTATCAAGACTCATTAATTTTTTATAAGCAAATTAAAAAAACAAAATTAATAAATCTTTCCAAATGAATAATTTGGATTGTGTTTAAGTTATCAAAAAAAATAAAAATGTTACGAAATAGATAAAATTCTCTTTTATTTATTCTGAAAATTTGGTAAATCTAAAATGAACATTGGTTTCGTAGAGTTATCCCACACGAAATCATTTTTATGGTTAAATTATGGCTGATATAGCATCCTCTTAAGGTTCAATTTTAAATTGTAATTGTTTATTCATAATATATTTTTTTATAAGTGAACCATGAACATTTTAAATCACAAGTAAACCCCTATAATTAATTAAAATAATTAATTTTACTTGTGTATTTATTATAAATAATATTTATTTGTATCATTGAAATATTTACAGTTCATATATAATTAATAATAGTGTCTATTTAAAACAAATAACAAATATTTAAAATTAAACATTTATTTTACATAAGTTTTTAATCATTTTTCTTTGTATTATAATTATTAGGAGTTTAATGAGTTAAACCCAAAAGGCCTTGATGATGTTGCACTGAAGACAGAATATTACGGAAGCAATATACTCGATGAAATAAGAGACATCTTAGATATGCCACCATTGAATATTAATTTACCTGGTAAACCAAATATAAATTTTAAGAATAGTTAAATATATTTAATAATTTTTTTTATGTAAAATATTGTTGTAATTATATTTTATACTTTTATTTAAGTGAACTAATGAAAATATATTTTAAAATATAATAATTATTTTTGACTATTCAATCAATATCTAAAATAATAAATATAATGTAGTATAAAACTAGATAATTGGTATAAGAAACAAATTTAATAACATTTTTTGTACATATTTTTAAATAAACTGTAAGTTATATATTTTCTACAAATTTTGAATTCCAAGATCTTACTGCATATTGTGTATATTTACGAAAAATCTGAACAATGCTTTAAAGTCGTAACTATGGTAAATTGTCAAATTAATTTATTTTTTAATAAATAAATTTATTATTAAAATATATTTTAGGTCATTGTCAAAATATTAAACAACAAAATTCATCTCAACCTGTATCACCTTATTCTACTCGTAAGGCTTTGTCAAAACAAGTAAAGCAATAATTTTATTAAATTAAAAAATTCAATATTTTATTTATTCATATTATTTCACTTAACTACTATTAAAGATAAACTACTATTAAAGATTATAGAATTTGTTGTTATGTTATAAGACATAATATTTGTTTAAAAACTATTGTTATAATTATATATTTTTATTAATAAATTAATAATAATTGGATCATAGGATAGCTATTGTCTATTATATTACATATATAATTATGAAAACTTACTTAACTGTTATAAATTATAAGTATTTTTATGCAAAGATAACTTAAAGTATTTCATTAAAATTAAATTTAAAAAATGAGTGATTTTATACTATTATTTATTTTCATTATTTTGTATTTTTTTATTCATGCAGTATGTATGATATATACAGTGTGTATCACAGTTGTTTATTACTTTATGTGTCTCTATGATAATATTTTATAATGAGGTCATATTTATTCAATACCTAGATTTGTAAATATGTATTTGGGATTTTCTTTATTTTTAAGTTATTTACATTTGAATGTTAAATAATATGTGAAAATCTTATATTTTTCAATTATTTATTATTTACTATTAATTGCTATAATTATTTTTTTGTACTCCAATTTCAAAGACAAGTTTAGTTTGAGTAATTTACTTTTAATTTATAATGATTTTTTACTGTAGATAATAAGTAGTTAACTGAATCTTAACTTTAATTTTAACTTTACTTTTATTAAGTTTGTATGATTCTATTTTTAAATTTGTATTCTAGTGATGTATATTTCACTAGTTGTGATTTGAATAAATACTTAGTAAAATTAATTAAATATATTGAAGTATATTCTATATGTATCTTCTTAAAGTGTTATATATATATACCTGGGAAAAACTTTATAGTTTTTCATTTGATCTTTTAAATTTGTATTTCATATAATATGTTTATAGCAGTGGCTTGAACGAAGTGAAAATTGCATCCCTACTATTATTAATGAAAAGACAATTAATTCTGATTGTTATAGTATACCTATTAATAATTTATGAAATTATTTAATGTTTAAAATACTAAAATGATTTTCAAATAATTTAAAAAAGGTTATTGAGTGCGATCGCAGCGGTTACCATGTGTGTATGCCATAAGTGCTAGGTGATAGCTGCCACCTGCCACTTTTGAACGAAAATCGTCATTGCCCAGGTTACTTAAATAATATTGTATATTTCGTGTTGGGCCGCGGTATCCCGCAAGCTCAGTGGCGCCCACAGGTTTTCCATGAACCAGTGCAGTGATGATTATAGGGTCTCCAAATTTGTTTTGGTCTACATCCATACGACCATATTCGTTTGATTGAAATATATTTTTTTTCAAATATATGTTTATCTTAAATAAATTTAAAAACATTGTAAATTTCTACATAACAATTTTTTAATAAGGGTTTGAAATTAAAATTTTACAAAAAAAAAATCTTCACCGGTTAGTATTGCTCAGGGCAGTTTTTCAACTACACTAATTTAATGATTTTTAAACATTTCAAAGATAATATTACATCATACATAATAATTGTGATCAGTGATTTAATTTAAGGTATTGAATATGTGTTAACTTGTTTTACAAAATATATCCATTACTTCATCATAATTGATTTCTATGTATGTAGTAGTTTCTACATTTTTCCTAGTTTTTGTTAAATTTTTTGTTGCTCTCCATAATGAGTCGTTTTGAGGATTTAGATTGTTTAGGTATGATTAATATTCCTCTGACTTGAATTGTTTTATTTTATTTTTAAGTACATTTGTCGCTTAATTAAGTTGTTGTTTAAGACTGGGATATCTGTATTGTTGCCAGCGTGCTCTAATTCTACGCTTTATTGCTATACATTTTTGGATGTTTTGAGGTAATCTGTCATTTGTATAGATAGTTTAATTTTTATTCAGGTAAGAACTAATATTTGCTGATTGTTCAATGGTTTTTATCATAAGTGTAGCTGCACATTCAATTTCATTGTTAGTTTTCAAGGATATATTTAAATTTATACTACTGTCTAAGTGATTTTTAAATTTAGTCTCAATTTATTGGTCCGTTTGTTGTATAAATCTGCAACATAAATTGGTGCAGTCGGTAGTTCTTCTTTTTGAAAAGAATTTCTAACGATATTCAATTCACGGAGGCAGTCACATAGTTGATCATCGACGAAGAGGAAAAACTGCAGATTTCCACTTCGGCAACTCTAGAAGAAGAACCTGAGTCGTTCAAACTGTTGTTTTCAGTGCATTTTTTAACTACCTAGTTAACTAGGCGACACAAATGTCGCCCAGTGATTATACCCTGTCGACAGTATTTAAAAGATTGGGCAATATAATGCGAAACAAACGTGTAATACTATAATCGTACTATGATATTATACATTGACTATTTTGAGAAAAACATTTTTTGTCGCCCAGTTATAATTCCTTATAAAATGCACTGGTTGTTTTGAGTTTCAACTTTCAATCAATGATGTCTAGTGGAATTAACCTCGCTCTATTGTAAGCATATATTTAATTATATAAAACTGTCAAAACATTGTACGTTTATCTGGGTAGTTATTAAGATATTATTTAAAAAGAAATAAAAGCAGAGTATCCTTGTGTATTTTGTGAGTATTAAAAGATAATTTAATGAGTATAAAATTAATTAAATGAGAATATATGTTGAGAATTATAAAAGAATATTGAGTGTTATTGAGAAAAATATGAAATTAGAACAAGACACACAAATAAAACCATCTCTTTTAGAAGTAACTAATCTATCGTAAGTTAAAAGTAAACGAAGAGTGCTTTAATGAAGAATTATTGAAGTTATATTGAATTAAAAGAGAATTTTATGAGAATTATTAATGAAAATAATTATTTGGAACGTCACACGTCACCTTGTGTACGAGATTAAAAAAAAAAAAGAAATATATTAGGTTAAATGAGGAATATTGAATTAAAGAGATCTATTGAAATTATTGAATTATATGAATTGAGATTGCGAGAAAGACAAATCTGCCTTGGAAGTAGCTACCCCATTGAAAAAGGAATTAAAATAAAATAAAAAGTTGTTAGAGAAAACACTAGAGAAAATAAATAAAGAATTAAACTCAACAGAAAGAATTGGAACTAGAAGTTAGGTAAACATTGAGTACATAGAATTAAAATTTGAAAGAAAATTTAGAGAAAAAATGGTAGACCTAAAAGAATTAACAATCTCACTAGATGGAGCAATTAAATTAATACCTAAATGTACGGGAGAAGACGATATTTATGTATTTATAAGTGCATGTGATTTAGCAGTAAGCGCAACATCAGAAAAACAATTATCATTATTAATAAAATATATTACGACTAGATTACGAAGAAAAGTATTAGAATTGATAAAATATAGAGATACAACATCAAAAACAACTAGGCTATTTGTTTGACATTTATTGACAGGTACTATATCTTGAGCAGAGAAATGTGAATTAATCTTAAAATTAATATCAAATATTTTTTGCGAAATTATATACACGGGTTGTTCGAGATTTTTTGTGAATACATATAGATGTTGGTAATCAACCCAATACTCTGTGATAATGTTCCTTAACAGCGTGGTCTTATCAGAACCAGACCCTCCCACAATTAAACACCGAATAGGATCAGGAAATATAGAATCATCTTTATTTGGGGTTTCGGTTTCAAAAGGATAAAGTTTGAAAATATATTTTTTCATGTTTATTACAGAGTTTTCAAATATTCTTGGAATATTTAAAAGTGATACGACCGAGATAAATTGCCCCATTTCACATAAAATATCAAGATAAAATCCTTGGTTTAAAGGTAAAGAATTTAGAAGTCCTTCGTTCAATACGAAAACATGGCGAATATAAACTGGGAATGTCTTATTCAAAAATGACTAAATGTTTTGAGTAACCATTACTCAATTTTTCCAGACCTTTATAAATTAAGGTGAACTTTACCAGATTCGAGTTCATTTCTTTAAGATCTTTTTATGTAAATTTATTAGCAAAGTGGTCTGGTAAAATTACTCTTAAGTTGCTATTTAAAGTAACTCGTAATTTTGGGTCATACAGTGTCTTAACAATTTCAAATCTTGTTACCGTATATTTTTTTTCGAGTTCCAAGTCTCTTAATGGGGTGTTATTTGTGTTTGAATTCAAAAGTGCTTTGTAGTTTTTCATTTATAATACATATTTTATTTTTTTTTTTTTTAAAAAAATATTCAATTTCTCTTAAATTTGAAAAATTTATATCCCATTACGTTTAGTTTGCGTTAACTATTTTTCTCTTGAGATTGCTTGTCTATTAAATCGAGATAAAAAATTGGGTCATTGAATTGAAGAAATTCGTTTCTTTCTTGGTCGAAAATACTGATATTTATAGTTTTTTATTATTTTTGGAATTACAGAAACGTACAATATTTTCTCTGGTTTTACGAATAAATTATTCAAGTCGAATAAAAACACGAATAAAAGCTCTTCCTTTACATGGTGGGTATCATTGATAGAGGAGAATGATTTTTCTACTATATCACAATGAACTTCCAACACTTCATTTTCTACCACAATTGGAGAGAATCCTTTTGTTATAAATTCTGTAATATATTCAACACCTAAAGAATCATACAATTTTTAATCGAATTTAAAATATTGGTTAGATTTGATACTCCTTTTTTTGAAAAAGGGTGCATGGTATAGAGCTAGTGAGACATTTAAAAAACATTAATTATCAAAGTACCATTTGAATAGCTCTACTGCATTGCATAACTATTTCTTATAAGATAAATGAATTACATGCATATCAAACTAGTCAGAAAGAAATAGAACGCCAAAGTAATAGACTAACTATGAATCATTTAATTGACATCGTAATTTATTTAGTCAAAGGAGGTAGACCTTTCCGTGGGCATGATGAAAAATCACAAAGTGTAAAACAAGGTCTTTTTAAAAAATTAGTTAATTTGTTATTAAAATATGATACTGTTTTAAAAAAACATTTTACAGATGGTCCAAAACATGCACTGTATACAAGTAATCGCACACAAAATGATTTGATATTATCTATTCATAATGTTATTTTACAAAAAATTAAATTTAATGTTCAAAATTCATCTATTTCAATATTGGCTGATGAAACCAGTGATGTGGGTCATCACGAACAAATTTCCATCATAATTCGTTATTTTGACGAAGAAAAAAATCGACCAGTTGAAATATCTTTGTCATTGCAACGTTTAAAATAAATCACAGCATAGGAAATTTTTAATTCATCGTGTAGTGTATTGGATATTAAGAATAAAAACTGGGAAAATGTTTTATCTGTTTGTTTTGATTGAGCATCGATCATGTCTGGACATTCAAATGGAGTTCAAGCAAAATGCAAAGAGAAAAATAATAACATAAATTATGTACATTGTTATGCACATTGCTTGAATTTAGTGTTGATTGATTCTATAAGAGAAAAATTAAATTCTAGAGTAAAATAAAAAAAATTAATTTTTAATTTTTTGGGAACTGTTCAATTCATTAATAACGTCATAGAAAGTAGTCCAATGTGACATGTGGTACTGGAAATAGTTGCAAAAGAAACTGGTGATAAACTCCATGAATTGAAGTCATGTTCAAATACAAGATGGGCTTGTCGATCAGATGCTGCGAAGGCAATTATGAATAATTTTAGAGTATTGATTATTGCAATACAAAACATTTGTGAAAACTGTTTAGTGCCAGAGATGAGAGCTAAAGAAATAGGTATATTAAATCAATTAAAAACCTTTGATTTCATTTTTGGTACGCATATGGTGAATCCAATTTTGATGTTAATTTTAAAAGTTAGTACTTTAATCCAAGAGCCAAGACTTAATCTTGTATTGGCAATGAAAAATATTAACAGTTTGAGAAATACATTAGTTAGTATGAGAAAAGATGACACTGAATATAAACAAATGTTTGATAATTTGGTTATATTGTGCAAGAAACATGATATTTATACCCCAGATGGTAATCCCCGTAGTTTCAACTTGTTTAGATCCTAATTTATCAAATCAAACTTTTTTTAATACAAAATTTGATGAGTTGAAAATTACAGTATTCTGTTCATTACTTGACAAAATACTTTGTGGGATTAATTTAAGATTTAAGCAGGATACATTTGATTTGATTGATGCTATGGCATGTATGTTAGATATGAATATAACTCAAAATACTACAAAAATATTATCAACATTTTTCAAGGTTCCAGAGGAAGATTTAATTATTGAACTAAAACTAATGAAAAATTATCAAAATGTTATGCAACTAAATGATGTTACTAGTGAATCTGTTTATGAATGGATTGATTGGTTGAAAACTTCTGGAAATCCCACTGTATATACTTGTAATTTTAAAACTTTAAAAATGTTTACAATCATACCTATAATCAGCTGTACGTGTGAACGCATTTTTTCAAAATAATTTATAATCCAATTTCACTATCATTTTTTTCACCCAAAATATGACTAAGTCCCAAAAAAAAAAATGCCAAATTTTAGGGTGCCCCGTAAACTAGAAATGTTCCATTATATTTTATTATTATATTATAAACTAAGTAAGAAAATATAGCATGTGTGAGATTAAATAAGTGTATAAAATTTAGATGTGCTGTATTTATAAAATGGTTGACTAGAAGGCCGATGATAATAAATGGGCACTGCCGGCTTTTAGAGTTTGCGCACGCCTATGAATTCAATATCATACATTACAAGTATAATAATACTCTAAGCAGTGCCGCAACTACCGGGTGTGGAAAGTGCATGCACATCGGCCTTCAAACCGTTATAGGCTCCACACGATGTATTATTATAGACATTTTAACGAAGTAAATTGATAAATATAAAAAACAGATTTATCATATTATTAAATATTTATAATCAAGTAACATACCCAACTACTAATTAGTTACCAATGACCAAATGCAGTACCATTGATTATAAATACTATTATATTACTAAAGCATTTATAATCCTATGGTAATATTAATTCTTAGGACAAAAATAGCAGAAAATAATGCAGGTCATTTAAAATTAAAGATCCACTCGACTACCTTCCATAATATAAACACCAGTTGACAAATTTTATTTATAGTAGGTAAATACTTTTTTGAAAAAATATTTAGGCCCCAAATTCAGATTTGCATACCAGCCTCATAATGTTTAGTTGCGGACCTGACTTTAAGCTAAGCATTTATTTATTTCTATGTATAAAATATTTGTATATAAATTTACGAGTATTAACCATTTACTAATTTTTATTTTATTATTTAAAAACAGTGTACATATAATTTAATTTGCTGAAATTGCTCAATTCATGAAACAGACACCACATTTTTACATTGTATAATTTTTTTTTCATCATTTGGCCAACCACTTAATGAAATAAATTGTTATTTTCCACTACCTTTCATTAAAGCTTATTATTTATTAGTTAATTTCTTTAGGGTTCTGATGTATATGAAATTGCATATTTTTTCTATTCACCCAATTTAATGATAACATACTCATAAATTTGCATATTTTATGGTTTTTTTGTTTTAAATATATATATATATATATTGGGATTTTATAAAAATAAAAATCCATATATTAGTACATATTCGAACTTTTTTTAAAACCGTTAAAATTTACGAAGTATTTGAAGCAAATATATTTTTAAATTGATTTCACAATGTTTTTTTCTCGTATTTTAAAGTATGCTCCAATAACATCAGTTGATGTAAAAATTAATTTTTCGCGCTAAAATAAATTTGTCCTTTCGGACAACGGACTACAAGTTTAATGACAATAAAAAAAAATTCAAAGCAATACTATTTCTTCCTAATTTAACTGTAAATAAATAAATTAAATACTTAAAAGTTACAATACTATTTTTTTTTGTCTATATTTGGTAATTTTTTAGCGCATAAACACCTTATTTATTAGCATTCAAGCCAATATAATGACTTCATGTAACACTTAAAAAAAAAAAAAATTACAATTGTTCAGTTATTATAAATAAAATAAACATAATATACATATTATACAGCATATGATGCTGTACGAATTTTTATAATCGTTTTTAATAAAATATATATTATGGATACAAAATAAAGGTAGGTAATTAAACACATTGTAATTTAAAATAGTTTAGGTAAACATAAATTAGTTAATCTTGAAGAATAACTGGAGTTCCTCAAAGTATAAAAATTTAGTTTTTCAAGAAACACGATCTTGATGTTAATTTGCAGGTACTGTTGATGTCGAAGGATAGCAGTGTGCGATGTTCATTGAAAGCGAGCAATAGATAATACAACGACCGATAGCGTGGGCACTAGTTTATTAGGAAACAATTATCTGTGTATTCATTTCTCAAATTAGGAATATATTCGGGAGACATCGTTGAAATTCAAAAGTACAAAAATCACGTGTAATGTTGTTCTTCGTGGACGCCAACGAGTGGTAATGAAAAAAATAAATCCTCTCCATATACAACTTGTAAAAATAATACTGTTATAAAATAATATGTTGTCGAGTGTTTGACATTATCGGTACTGTTGGCCAATCATTATTGCCACGATTAATGATGATTAATTGTACTTAATTATTAGCAATTTGAATTCCCCCCCTCGAAATGTATCGTACAGATATTATAATTTTTTTAAATTTTTTTTTTCGTGAACAATAAAACCGGTTTGAAATTGCAAACGTTTGCGGATGCCAACTTATGTGTCACATTTACGGTTATTGGTACGCGCCGTCGTCGATCTACGCGCACGATCAACGAACCGCAACTGCTACGACTAAACGCCTCAGTTGGCATATTTGTAATTCCGAGAGTCGTACAGATGTGGCCTTTCGTCCACTATTCGGCACCACTCATGGGGTACTCGGCCGTACTGTATGTCGGTGATCGCGTCGTACAGCCTCTGGTACAGCGGCGTCGTCTGTTCCATGGTCGGCAACACGATGTCCTTGCCCTCGTACAATATGGACGACACCGGACTGATGACGGCCGCGGTGCCGGCCGCGAAGAATTCGAGTATCTGAAACGAAATCGAATCCGATGAGCGAACGCGAGTGGTCGTTGCGTGTCGACTAAGTGTTCGTGCTGTAGGAGGCAGTGGCGGAACTAGGGGTGGAAGACGGGGATTCATCCCCGGGCGTAAAATCTTAGAAGGTGTAATTTTTGTTATTATTCACAAATAATTTGATATTTTTAACTTTGTTAAATACTGATATTAGGTTAAAATTCAATAAGTATGATTGTATATCAATTGGTAGAAAACGTTCTCGATAAGAATATTTGATTATTGGTCTGTGATAGTGCGTAATCTTAACATTTTCTCCGGGCGTAAAAATTCCTAGTTCCACCTCTAATTGGAGGAGGGTGGTTGTTTGGGGACGGTTTTCAATCGGCGGTGACATCTGGTCGGCTTTCGCCGGACTAACATAATATTACGTGCTGGCAGTATCTGGGATCTAGGAGATTTGACGCCCTGATAATAATGAAGCACTCAAACATAGGTGGAAACGCAGGGTACGTTCATGTAGGAGCATCCTTGTACCAACAGCATATCCACTTGCTCTCCTTTTCCCTAACCAGCACTGCGTATTGGTACAGCAAATGCAAGTTATCGATCGAGCTCAGTACAATATATCTATCGAATAGCGGATATTCCGAATAGGTTTTTTTTTTTACTATCCAAGAGTAGAAGGAAATAGGGCGCTTTCGGTCCGAGACACTCTAAACCCTATTGTGAGTAACGCCACCACTGGTTGTATCCACCCACCCACTTGAATTCGAATTCGAACGATTATGTAGAATGGTTGCGAAGTACTTATATAGAGAGTGTACTTGGTAGGTGTGTATGATGGATAGAAAATGTTTTCTGACTACAGTTGACGTGGTCTTACTTGGTTGTTTCTGTTCATTTCAATTAGTTCGTCCATTGTGAAAGTTTTTTCTTCGACATGGAATTCGTTCCATTCTCTTGTCAACTCCAGTATTGATCGTCTTGTGATGCCTGGTAATATCATTCCGTTCAACGGAGGCGTGGACAATACGTTTTCTGAAATAATGCGTAACGCAAAACAATCAATGTAATTACAACGCTGCTGAAAACGACCAAGAATTAATGTGTTTATAGTTTGCAGTTTAATCCAAAAAAGTAATTTCATATATTTTCAAGCATCCTCGTAGCTTTGGATCTGAATTAGGATAATAGACAACTTTCGGTACAGTTTATGCGCTATACCTATATGAACAGGACGTAGTGATTAGCAAAGACCTCGGGGTGTAACCTGCACTACGATGATCACGAAACGTGGAAAATACTAACGCGATTTTCAAACGAAAGCGTCAACGTATGATACAATTATGTTTACAGGCCAGTATTAAGGATGTGCAAGTGTTTTATTTTGTTATACAAGGGATTCGGTCGACACGGATATTGATCTCATTTTCCCGGTCAAATCGGCTGAGCTTTAACATAAGTTAGGTCACCCCATAAAATATAATAATATTATAATTTGTTGAATTACCGCCATTGTTATTTTTGTAATAAATAAACACGTTCATTGCACCCATTTCTGTGATCTGTCGGTCCTCGCCGAATAACCATAACATCTGATGACAACCTAATTTCGATGCTAATTCCTGTAATTGGAGATAAAAATTACAATAAATATTTTATGTTTTTGTACAATTTAATAAAGTCGACAAAGTTTAAAATGCATTGGTAATTATTTTATGAATTAACTGCGTGAATGTACTGTTCTGACATTTGAATCTATACCTATAACCTTTGCGTATACTAGATTATAACAACCATAGGTGGCATTTGGTTCTTATTGTTGAGGGGGGGGGGGCAAAAATTAATCACAATTTACTGACCGATTTAAAAATCTACTAACATTCAACTTATATATATATACATATATATATGTTATACATTTTTACTTACTTACTTATGTGTATGATGACTGATAAGACGATAAATATATTAATTAATATCAATGTAATATTTTATGCTGTGTCTTAAAAGTATTGATTAAAACATTGATTAAATGTACTATATTGTATATTTAATTAATGTACATTGATTAATACATTAATAGTACATTAATGCATTAGCTTATATTAATTTATGGTAATATTGATAATATTGATCTGACTTAACATGAGGAATAATATTCTTATATAATTGTACAAATAATAAATTATCATGATATATATTATATTATATATTATTATTATATAAAATTATTATGGTAGATCACGAACGAAATTGAAAGATGCCATGGAGAGGGACATTCAACTTGTGGATATGAATCCGTCTGTTGAATTAGCATTCAACAGGGAAAGATGGAGAGGCTTACTTGTGGCAGCTCAGGTCCTTCAAGGACTTTTAGCTTAAGCTGAAGAAAAAGAAAAAGAAGAAGAAGAAGAATTGTACAAACGTAATTTTAACATAAATATTTTATAAAAATTAAAAATTGTTTAAATAATATTTAACTTAGAAGGGGGCAAAATGATAAGTTTGCTCCCTCGTGACTCACCCCCCCCCATGCCGCCTATGATAACAACAGTACTTAATTATTATGTATTTCATATATTGTTTCGAGAAAATATTTTTTTTATTCACAAAAACATTAAGAAATTAGCTGGAATAACTAACAAATCATTATATCAAGTTTAAATTTTCGTTTTATCAGTTAATGATCCTAACTTATTAGTATTATTTACGTAATACTTAGTATAACTTTAAATGATGTACTTTTTTGTTGCTCGAAACATAACAGTGCTATGCTGGATTGGCAGTTTGACATTTTTCAGTTAGTGGTTTAAGCATAGTTAATACCATCCACCCACCTACCAAAAAGTCATATTAGGTAAAAAAACTTCTCTAATTTTTATTAAATTATTAATTTTATACTACCTACCACTGCTAGATGCCAAGACCAAGTCCCCACCTATTAAAATGACACCCACTCCAAAATGTTTGGTAGTTCAGTGAACTACAAAATTCATGATCAAGATCATAGGCGTAAACTGGGGGGAAGCAAGGGGGCAATTTTCCCCATAGAAAAAAATTAGGAGGGGCAGTGCCCCATCTGATATTTAACATACCTTGTTTTAAAATAAATACAAAATAGCTGGTTATAGCTATGATTATAATATATTTTTTTTTTTAAATCTTAATTTTAAATGTTCGCTTATCCAACATAATGTTAGAAAATGAATAATTTTATACAATAATATGTAGGTAGTAAAGCAGCATTTAGCCTCGGCATCCTTTTCGTTAAATATGTAATTATATTTTTGCCCTCCCTCCCTCCAAGTTACGCCTATGATCAAGATGTCTCTGATATGCTGTATTTGTCTATTATTAGATCGAATATTGAACTCTAATAACAACAATTGAGGATCAAAGGGCTTTAAACTTATATAAGTATTATATTATTGTCATCGTCTACATTATTTACTAATCACTACTACAACAATTATCAATTTTATTTAATGTTAAAAATTGTTTTCCTATTATACATATATAATGAGAATTCTATGAAAATCATAAAAGATTCAAAGAACGAATGTATTAGATGTTTAAACGGCATTGACATAAATTCTGTATAATTTTATTTTCTTATCTGCTATAATCTACATTCTAGTTAGGATTGTATACTATAGTTTTTTTAACAAACGTGATATGATGTGAGCTAATTAAATTCAATTTAATGAAGCAATTTTATGTTTAAACAATATCAAATTAGAAACGGTAAAAAAGAATAGTATAGGTAATAAGACGTGGAACGATTGATTTTTTTTAATTGCTCTCACTTTAATACTATGAATTATTACTTAATATAATGTTAAAAATCTAATACGTAGTTTAAATTATTGAAAGCTTGAAGTAATTGTTTCAATTATTTTAATTTTATACTTAAAAAGTATTAGTGTATTTAGGCACAGTTCCAATTCATACTTTATAGTTCAATATATACAATTAGTCCAGACATATGATAATATAGTACTGAGAAATATTACATAGGTATTGATATGAATGCATACAATTATTCCAAGCCTAAGTACTAGTTGGAATATATTAGATTCTTTCTCAATATCTATAATTCTACACCTAAATGAAGTATACCATATACAATTAATATACAGTTTATTAAATGTATTTAACATGTCGGTGTCGTGTACTTACTTGAGGGTATAATGTGGCGGCATAGTTGGCGCCTAATTTGAAGTCACCGCAACCACCAGGCCAAGCTCGGGTGAAATTTGGGTTGGCCATCAGTTTGACAGATTTGAATTTGCTCGAGAAATATGGTCCCACTGTGCACATAATTACGTATAAAAGTGCTGTGTCTGCGTTTGCTACTCCTAATACACCCTACAGGAAAAAAAAATAAGATAAAATAGTAACAGTATACGTGTGTGTAAAATGTTTCATTTTTAAAAAATGTTGAAGAAGCCACGAGTGCGAATGCTGTACTATATACTATTAAAATATAATTTTGATACGGAGTTGTGTGTATCATATGACAAGTATTTATAATCCAACATTGGATCTGAAATAACGGTAAAAAAAAAAATTGTGTGACGTGTGTTATTTTTCAAAAGCATAATATTACAGGCAAAACCGTATAGAAATTAATATTGTTGTAATACTATGTCGAATTCCGCCTCAGGATAAGCTACTATTTCTACCAATTGGGTATGTCGAGAACGAGAATAATATATCAGTAAAAAAAACTTAGCTCTGTGCTAAATATTAAGGGATTAAGATGTTGTATTATAATTTTGAGGTGAATAAATGATTGAAATCGGCCTCAGTATGCTGTGCCTAAAAGGTACTTAAAGGTCTAAAAGAGTACGAACAAGTTATAGTACTAGTTTTAAGGTTAATAAATTGATAAAATGAAACTTTAAAATTTTGTGCTGAAATATACGAAGTTAAATTTTTTTTTAAAAAATTTAGATCATAGAAAAATAATCGATTAGATCTCGCCAAGAGAAAAAAATAACATAGAATGAAGTGCATTTTTTAAAATCTTTTTTTTTATAAAACACGCTACTGATTTTCAATCAAATGGATTATACAAAAATAAAATGGTATTTTGAAAGTTGATTTTTTTAAATTTTTCTTTGTTTACGAAATTAATATTCCAAATTCAAAAAATATGTTGGCAAAGATAAAATTATATTAATTTTAAAGAATCACGCATGCCATAAGATTTGTACAAAAATTGGTGAGACAATACTTTTTCGATTAAACTGTGAAACTCGACTTGTGTTCATAATAATAACGTGATTGCGAGAGAGAAAACCTCGAAATCAGTACAGTTCTCGCTGACTCTTGCACTGCACTCAATGGCGAACTACTATCCTCCATGACATCCTAGGTGAATTTTATTTTGACGTTTAAAATAAAAAAAAAATAAATAAATAAACCATTTTAATTTAACTCAAATGTGCCCCTACATTGCTATTGCCAATTTTGCCAATTTATAGTTATACGGCACTAGCGCTGCGCTCGTGGCGGACGGCCGTTAATTTGCACAGAACGAGAAGAATCTCTGACCAGATCCTTCGATTACACCAACCACGCGATTATTGCGATATTATTAATAATATTCTATTCCACCTGACAGCGAATCACACTTACCTCTGTGCCTATGAGGTTGGGTCTGATGTATAAACTGAATGGTGCGGATACGGGTAGCCATTCGTTGTCGATGGACACCAGACGTTCGATACATTTAAGTAGGATATCTTGGTCTATTTCTGGTAGGCCTACTCGTTTAGCTGATGCGTTTAACCTCTGCAAGTTGAGCTCTGGTCGGAACATGTTCATTTGACCGTGTACTGATCTGTACGCTTTCATTCCTTCGAAAACCTGTGCAGTATTCAGATACGAAACATATTATAATCATCGTTAGGCATTATCATAAATAATATCTAGAATAGCGTTGGGTAACTGGCGGCCCGCGGGCTGCATCCGACCCACACTTCTCTTTTTACAGATCGTATTCAATTCCAAAACTAAGAAATTTAATTGAATATCATATCAATTGTTTGTATTTTCTGACCCGTGAACCCTTTTTAATCTGTGAATGTGGCCCAAAGGTTCAATAAGTTTGTCGACCACTGATCTAGAACCATCAGGTAGACAGAGTTACTCGTATAGTATTATATATTTTATTAAATTCAATTATTATTTTTCGTGAGATCAAAGTGACATGGATAAAATAACCATTTTCTTTGATTTAATGTACACAACGTTCGTAGATCATTGGTTCAATAACATTTTTATGGTTTATTTTGCAACGTGTTCTACATCCAATGTGTGCATGAGAAACATTATGACGTATTGCTATTTATACATAATACACTGCAAGATCTGGATATCTGAAATAAGTTAGTCTGTTCAGTTTATTATTTTGTTTTTTAACATTTTATACAACCCGTAAGGTGTAAAAATATTTACACTATTAGAAATGTTTAAAGTTGATTTGAGATCATTTTTGGCAACGTACTGTTTTTGAAATAAAAATTTTTTTTTTAATATTATTATTATGCATAGATAATGAGTAGTACCTATAAGAGTTTTCAATTTTCTGTTGTAATGGTATCAAAAAATATAAAAAAAAAAAAAAAAAAGAAAAGAAAAAAAAAGAGGAACATATATTTTAAAATAACAAATAAATAAGAAAATGTAAAATTAAAAATACAATAATTTAAACTGTATATATTAGCTCTCATCAGAATCGGTTTTATATTAATTTCAAAGTTTTAAAATTGTCAAAATTGCAACAATATTATACACAGTTAAAATTTTTTCATATTTATACGAACAAATCGTGATAAGATTTTAAATCCGCATTGATTATTGATAAATATATAGTATTATGTTTTTGGTTTGTAGCAGTAGGTAATTAGCAAGGATATTTTTATGCTGTTAAAAATTCAAATAAAATTATTGAGTAAATATTTTTTTCAAATTATACATTTATATTAGATCCGATTACATTTTTCACACGTCAAATCTTTGCATCACACAATTTTTGTGCGACTGCCAATAGTTAGCCAGATTCAAGCCTGATCAAAGCCATGACGCACATTGTGAGCATACGTGCCCATCGTGTTTTGCTTATCGTTTCACATGATTCTTATCTACTAATATTATTCGTTTTTTGTATTTATATTAACCATATTGCAATTAAGCATTTTATCAAAATCGTGATGTTTTCGTGTCCATTATTAGTATTACGTGTTTAAAAATATTTATAATTAAACACGTCAGTTAGATCATTATCGTAGATCAAGGGGTATATAGTTTTTTTTGAAATAACTATTGTTATACTTACGAACTTACTTTACTTTCGTAAAAGTCTGAAAACTGAATAAAAAATGTATGAAATTGATTAAATGATACGCAGAAATTGAATTGATTTGTACCTTTTATGTGCATTATATTATTTTCGAATATTTTTCTAAAATTTTAATTTATTCTATTTTTTGATTGAAGGTGCTATATTTCAACAATATGGAATAATTGACTCGCAGTTTTATGTAATTTTAGACTTTTATGTAGGTACATATATCACTTGGATATGATGACATATTATATAATAATAGACACTAAGTGGATTGAAAAAAATTAACATTGGACGTTTATCGGATGAATAATATTGATAAATTAACTTTAACTAATATAACATGCAAAAGATAAATTATGAACAGTTATTTTAATAATGGGAATTCGATTTAACCGCTCTTTATCTGAATTTTATTACATAGTACATAGTAGGCGTACAAACAGATTCGTTTTATTGTTAATAATTACTTTAGAGTTTAAAATACACGAGCCACTTAAAGGCTAAAGTAATGATGTAATAATTCTAAATTTTATCGAAGTGAGCTAAGTGAAACACTTAACCTCAGTAACCGGTTTATACCTAATTTTAACTTAAATTTATAAAAAGAATATACTTGTTTTAAAAACGTACGAAAAACTTAAATTTGTTTAATTGTTAATCATTTGAGTAAGTTGTTAGGTATGCATTTCGTTTTTGATCCAAATCATTATTTTATGTTATGTTCCATATGATTTACCATTTTTTCTTAACACTTATTGAACGTTAACATTGCAAATATGTATAGAAATTATATTTACTTTGACATTGATATTTAATAAAATAATAATGTACTATAATATATTATACAAATGTAAATCGGTAAACCATTCATATTTGTTTGCAAATTGTATATTATAAAATCATTTATTTAGAATCATTATTAATATTTTTACATTGATCGATAAAATTATAAATATAATATAAGAGCAATTGTTCTTACCTCGGTAGCATAATGGAGTACTTTGGCTGCAGGATGTAAGCTAAGATGTTCCAAAGGGGTGATGTATGGTTTTTGCCATCCACCTGAATGTTTATCGTAGTAAATTTTAATCATATGATCTGTAAATATAGTACCAAAATTAATTTGAGCACCACTCTTTAGAATACTTGTGAAATTATCATTAAGTTTTGAAGATTTGCACAGCGTGATGTCAATATCTGGCTTCAGGCACTGAAATATAATAAAAACACTTTTATGTTAAAAATATAATAATAGCTAAAAATGAAGAAATATCAAAATTTTTTGACGCATATTATAATTCGCATTACTTATTTTTATAATGTTAAATTTTCTCACTGTAGGCAATTTATAAATTTCAATTTAACGATTTAAATTTATTTTTTTTTTAGTTCATATATATGTATTCCATGTTATAATATTATATTATATTTACATGTATTAGCTATAATTAATGATTATTTTAAATTATTGAAAGTAGACTTCTCAAAAAACGATTTAGTTGACGATATAAGTTACATATTATATTATTATTAACCATATTATTAATATTACATATCACTGCTATAGCGGATATGTCAGTTTATATATTCACCAAACAAAAAGTTTCCAATTAATATTTTTATCAATTTTTCCGTGTTACCCAAAATTATTGTCCTAGGACAACTATAATTTTTATTTTAAATTTTAATTAATTTAATTTACGTGTATTACGATATGTTATACACCAACTAACAGTTTAATTTCACTATACACTTCTTAGTTCCTATTATATAGCATATTGCATTGTTACGGGAAATAATTTTCTTAAATTTCTATTAAAAGATAGTATAGTCAGATAATTTTTATTGCTACATGTACAAATGGAGAAATATTGTTTTTATTGGATGCATATGTACACTTTTACGGAACAAAGAATTAAGTCAAAGTTGAAAAATATTACAACTTTTTTTTTATTTGATAACTATTATAGGTGGTCACGAGATTAAAATATGATTTAAAGTTGATTGAGAAATAGCGAAAATTTATTTCGTTTTTGTAAGACTTAAAATAAATCAAAAATTTCCAAAATCCAAATATATTTCATATCATGTTCCGGAAAAATAAAATAAGGCGCTTACGAAATTATTATCAATTATTACTTAGTACACTTATAACATATAGATATATGTAATATTAAGGTCATATCATTTATATTAATATATTTTTTAGTTAGCTCTAATATTTACAAATGTGTTTACATAAATTCATTTTAAAATTAAATCAGAAATATATGGCCCCAATAATTTTTCTCGATTTATATTATTTTTCATAAAAATATTGAAGCATTTTCTTCTTTTAATTAATATCTACACTTAACTTGAATTTATTTTCAGTACATAATATCATTTTGATGTTCTGTAATTTGATTATAGATATGAATAATTGTTAGTATTTTAGCTATAGGTTAGTCTTGGTGAAATAATTTATGTTAATCATTTGCAATAATAGTTTAAGATGTTGACGATAAGAATGAAGTAGAAGAATAATATTTCTTTGGCGATTTTTACAATTTTGTTAATTTTCCGTTTTAAAATTTGTTAAAATAAATGTAACGTATGAACTTTTCGTTGTATTTCTTTAAACGTCAGTTTTGGTTTTGACAGATTTCGTTTCACGCAAAAATATGTAATGGTATATATGATAGATATTACATTACGAGGCCTTAGATTAATAATATTTGTTTAATGATAGTATTGCACTTCGATGTATTTGTGCGTAGACAACACATTAATAAATCGTGATTGATGATATTAATGTTAAAGTAGGTGTACCTTTTCCGGTTCGTTTTGTGATACAGTTGAACGATTTCTTTTAGCCAATAGATGTTGTATACTATATAGTTTTCTGCAAGTCTGTAACGATATTTAATCAATATTTTAATCTGAAATGAATAATTACTATATCATTTTGGATTAATTTGTTAGGACAAAGATTTAAATCTTAGAAAAAATGAATGTAAAGTTAATATCCTAATATTAATTTCTTATACTGAAATTGTTTAAATTTAATTGTTATCTCTATTTAAGGATTTCTATCAACTGCTTTCTGCTAATTTAAAATCATTAATGTTTTGAAAATATTTTCTGTGATCGGTATAAAATTATATATTTACCGTTATTTTGTTTGTATACAGATACTATAAGTGTTTAATATATCACTGCTAAAGATTTTTCGTCATTTTGAATTGCAAATTTTGTTTGAAAAAATATCTAATATTTCATTATTAATATCTTAGCACCTATAGTATTTTTATATTACAATACAAAAAAAAAAAATAAATATTTAGGAGTCAAAAAAATTAAATATGAACCAACAATTAAAAATTGTAAGAATAGTAGAAAATAAATATCTATATATTATATCTTGATTAATTTATGATTAACTTAAAATTTCAAGCTTACCTTTTTTTGTTTGAACATTTTTTGTGTTACGGATAAACAAGTCTCAGTAAACGCCATTTTTAAAAAAAATTATTTGAAAAAAATATTATTTTATTAGTATGATTATTACTATCAGTTGAATAATTCTGACTGTTGATACAATATCAATGTGTATTGCTGAAGCAATAACTGGTTACTGAAAACGATTTCTTACAATAATTGGAATAAATCGACTATTTATAATCAGCGTAATTTATACACATTATCGGTTATTTTAATTGAGTGTGTACGATGTTAATAATTTTTTAGGCCAGTGGAAGAGATTACAATATATTTCTTATTAAATTTAGTATCAAGAATTTTCCTCAATGAAGAGATCACCTAAGTTCAATAATATATAATTATTAATTAATGACAATATGTTCAAAATGAGGCACATCGGTTTATATTATCTTAAGTTTATAATCAACATCTCGCTATATAATATCATTCTAATCAATCAGATTTAAATAAATCGTATTCATTTAAACTTTGAAGTAAATAATATACACGTTCAACAATTTGTGTTTAGTATTGTTGTATAAGTTTTCTTGTTAACCGATCCAATAAATTCCTATTTTGTTTAGTGTATACATTTAAATTGACCTACTTAACGGGTTTTCTTTTATTTCTCTTTTCCTTATGAAAGTTTTGGAATGTTTTCTTGTTAGTACTGAAGATTTACTTAAGATCATACTTAAAAGTATTTGAGTAAATTATTAATTAAATCAATATATACAATTTGTTTTAAAGTTAATTAAAAAAAATGAAAAAAGAAATGTATGTATTTATATTTAGTATAATACTAATGAAATGGAAGAGGTATTTGTAATTTTTTTTTAAGTTTACAGTATATTCGTAAGAGCAGTGGTTCTAAAATTGGGGGTCACCAATATATAAAAAAAACTAGTAAGGTATTTTTGAAAGTATCATTATGATAATTATTACTGAGAATTACAATTAATAAAAGTTTAGGATTGCCAATAAGAACCTTGTATTAAGCATATTAATTTATCACTGCTTTTTAATGTTATCATTAAAAGTGGCATTCTAAAAATTAGTGATTGCCAATAAGAAACTTATATTATGCATATTAATTTATTACTGCTTTTTAATGTTATCATTAAAAGAGGCATTCTTAATATTAGTGATATTATAGGAGGTTGTTGTCTCAAAAGATTGAGAACCGCTGAGTTAGAGCATTTAGAAAATATTTGTTAATCATTTGTTTATTTGTAATAATAGCCTTTTAGAGTATAAATACTTCCAGACATATTTAATTAGATATTTAAATCTTCTATTTGAATTGCAGTAGAGCATATAAAATCTATATATATATAATTTTATATTAATATTTATAGAAGATTCTATATACATATTCTTCTTTTCTGAGCAAAAGCTTTTCTTTTGAGTATGGAAGTATTTCTAGGAAATATTGTATGTTAAAATATTATTACAGATCAGAAAAAAATTACATACAAGGTATTCAATATATCTAATTTTTCATAATTTTTCAATAATATTTACAGTTTTTACAAATTTTTTGTAGACATTTTTTTCTCGAATATGTTTAAACATAGTTGTTTTTGTTATCATCAATTTAATTTTCTTATTATTTATAATATACTACAATAGCAATACATTTTGATTATTTCTATTTTATTACAACTAATTGATAGCTGATAATCAGACTTACGTATATAGGTGGTAATGATATGTCCTTTAAATCTGTATAGAAGAAGATCTTGATATTATTTTATTAAATATCCTACCCATTTAAATTAGTTACTTTTCAATATTTATTAATAATATAAATAAACGTTATTGCCTACTTACGTATTGAAATGTTACAAAATATGGTATTGCTTTTACATAATGAAAAACATGAAAATACAAACAATATTAATAATTATTGATGAAAATAATGAAAATATTAAGTATTTTAACGTCATAGTTTTTTAAAGTGCATATCTATTACGAAAGATATGTTTTAATTATTTATAGTCAGAGAATTAGAATGCTAATTTTTAAAAGCTTTATATCATTATATATAATGTAATAAAAAATAATTTAATAATAAGAGCGTTATGAACAGATAATAATGTTGTTTTGTCTTATAATAAGCGGTTTAGCATTATTCTACAGTATAATTACATAATTTAAAATATCAAAATATTTTTCAATCCAACGTGATTATTTTTCGGTAGTGGTTAGAGCGAGACATATAGTTTATAATTAGGGACCGGATTTATATGCACAAAAAATCTTCAAAATATACTTCTAAAAATGCTGTAATATGCTATAAAATATGTATTTATTTTTAAATATGTACTTAAATATTCATTTAAAATGCTGTTTAAAATTATGTACAAATATTATAAATGTAAAAATAATCATTAATTAATACAGTATTAAAAAAAGGATAAAAAAGCTTTTAAAATATTTTGTCGTCTTTATCGCCATTTAACATTCTTTATCTTCAATCTATAAAGTATAAATACCAACATTAATAAAAAGTGAAAACAAAAATTGAATTCATATTTTACCTTGTTGCATTGGATTATATGAGTATGTAATCTTATCTTTGGAAATAAGATACGTTCGCAATTTTAACGATATTATGTGGCTGTGATCGTGAAAATACGACGAAAACAAATATATTTGCTATCAATAATAATATGCACTATAAAACTACAAATATGCATTGAATATGTATTTAATAGGTAAAAACGTTGAAATATACAAAATATGCAAAATAAAATTAGTGTTATTTTGATAAGAAAGATCTAAATCGGGGACAATGCTCATCAGATTTTAAAAAGCTTATTCCAATATATATATGCATTTTCATATAAATCCGGTTCCTATTTATAATAGAGTAATGAATAGAACACGTCAATATTTGAGCGCACGGCAGTGCGCTAGCCAAGTTCCAGCAATGCCAGTGTATCTTTACACGAACCAATTTGCCCAGTTTTTCTAACCCATATATCTCTGTTTCCTATAACAAAAATAAATAAAAAAAAACTTGAAATTTAAAACACAGATTAACCTCTAGTAGCTTAGGCCGCTGTAAGAAAATGAGCCCTTAATATTGTTCCATTTTAAAATGGCAGGAATTTAAAATTTGCAACATTGTTACTGACTGACTTACTCACTCAATGATCATCAAAATTATAAGACACTTCCCATATAGGTAGAAACGTGAAATTTAGCACAAAGGTAGATTTTACCGTGTAACTAAAGGGAAAAATCTAAAAATTGAATTTTTTTCAAAATTAATGCCGCTTCAGAGAGTGTATTTCTAAACGTAAGAAGTGGCGTGCTTAGCATGCATAAACGTTTACTTTCAAACAGCGTTACAATATGATAATAAGAAATTGTTTGTAGTTGACTTATACATATCTATAAAACATAATAATGATTTCGTACATTTACATTTAATTTTACATTTTATTCAAATACAAAATATAATATATTTATACAAATACAGAATATTTTAATAATATTCGTCAGTTTGCGAACGATAATTTTACGGGTAACCCGTCATAACCGCGAATCCAAAATAGCGAATATCAAAATAGCGACGGCAAAATAGTTAAGTATAAAATAGCTAAAATCCATAATAGCGAATGTTCAAAACAGCTAAAGTATATTATTTTAAAATTATTACTCTTATTATTTATCTGTAGTAATAGTATTACGTTATAAAGATGCAGATAATGACGATCAGTTTTATAGCTGGGTTATCCAATATTATCGTCAGGTCGGACCAGATATAATAATAAATTAGGTGGATTGGATATGAGCACAATATTCGACAACGACAGTGTATGTTTAACCACTCAGTTGCATATTTCGTATATTATATAGTTTCACATATGTTGTTTAAAAATATCGAATATTTAATTTCACAAAAAAATAAATCATTCGTAAAATACGATGGTTTTTTGTATCGGAAGGATTGTGAAAACGGTGAAGTTTCATACTGGAGATGTGCGGAAGTTGAAAAATGTCGTGGTAGAATTAACATTAAAAATGATTCGGTTATTAAAGATTCTTCATTCAAAAATGTACAGGTCCCTAATCCAACTAAAATCGAAGTTAAAAAATTAACTGAAGTAATGAAAAAAGTGCTTTAACTACTCAACACAATCCAAGTAAAATTATTAGTGATATTGTAATAACGGCGTCATCGAATGTAATTCAAGGCAATCTCACAAGTGTATCAATCTTATAAAAATTATTCAGCAAACTAGGCAACATATCAACGCTATCCACCTAACCCACTAACTTTGAAAGATTTAGGAGAAATACCAGTTATGTATAAAGAAACAAACAATGGAAGTAAGTTTTTGTTGTTTGATAATTACGAAATTAAAAGTCCTATAAAAAATAAAATTTTAATATTTTGTACGAGTGAAGGGTTAAAGTTAATATCTGAATATAAACATTGGTTTGCCGAAGGTACATTTAAGAGCGCTCATTCTATATTCACACAAATATACACAATTCACGTATTGAAATATAATACTGGAATACCAATAATTTTTGCATTATTACCTGATAAAAGTACTGCAACATATTATTATAAAACACTATAATCGCATATACCATTAAATCCTAAAACTATTATGACTGGCTTCGAACACAGTTTGATATTGGCATTTAAGGAAAATTTTCCCAATATAATTTTTCGTGGTAGCCACTTTCACTTAAGTCAATGTGTATGGCAAAAAATACAATTGATACCCACAGCCCACGAAAAATATATAACTGATGCAGAACTTTATATTCAAATACGATTGTTACCAGCACTGGTTTATGTATCAGTATCTGACGTAATAGTAAGTTTCGGTCACTTATGTGAAAGTGATTAATACATAGAACAAGAAAAACTTTTTCGACCACTATTGGAATACTTTGAAGATACTTGGCTTGGAAAGACTGTAAGCAAACAAAGTAGTGGTCCAACATTTCCTTTGGAAATGTGAAATTGTTATGACTCGATAAATTTGCCAAAGACTAATAATTCTGTT